CACAGCCGAAATCTGGAAAATATGATTCGAATAGTTTGATCAAGAGAGAGAGAGAGAAAGTTAGGACTTTTCAGTTTTTTAAATTAATTTTACTTCTACCGTATTTTTCAAGAGCTTATTAAGAGAACCAAAAAAAACTTTCACATGATTATAAAATTCGTCTATCCAAAGATAATTTCATACAAAAATAATTTAAGCATTAATTACTTTCTTTAATGATAGCCGAAAAATCTTTTTAATTGTATTTAAATTTTTACACAATTTTAGAGAATGTAATTTTATGTGACAAAATTTAAACGAAATCAAGTAGAAAAGTTTCTGATTTTTCAAATTTTAAGAAATATCGTACATTTAAAATTAGATCTTACTTGAGTAATTCCATCGATTTCGTTCAAATTTTATATTTTGCCATTTAAAATTATATTCTTTAAAATCATGTAAAAATTCACATACCTTGCCATTCAAAATATTTTGACCGTTATAAAAAAGTAATAAATAATTATTGTAAATTGTTTTTGCGTGGAATTATCATGATGAAGAATTTTATAATTCTGTGCAAAATTTTTCGATTCGCTTCGAAAGTTCTAGAGGTAGGGCGACATATGCTTCAAATAAAATTAATATTACGGGGTCCAAACTTTCGACTGCTTCCCTCACTAGAATATTGAACTGTATTTTCCATATTGCTGCTATCTGCTATCTATCGCCTCTCCATGTTTTGGGGTCAGAAATCCTAATCAATCGAAAAAAGGTATTTTATTCAAAGAACGTACGTTTTTGTACATGATTACGTAACGTAAAATACCTTCTGCACTAATTAATTAGCATACTTAAGATGAGGCACTCCCTCGATCTATTACGATTAAGTTTCTACCGTGAAAATCTAATCATTAGATTAAAAGTTATTCAGAGTATTCCGCTTTTTATTGATTTACTCTATATATGCGTACATAAGTGCATTGTATGCACATAAACACATATTTTATGTGCAGAGTACAAAAAAGAGCAGATACCTCTTCGAATAATTTTAGATCTAATCATCAAGACTCAAATATGTTTACTATAGTTAGCATATAAAAATAAGTACAGGTGATATTTTAGGTTTTTCGAAATCAGACACAAAAATGTACTTGTTCTGAATAAACATACCTTTTTTCGACGGATTTGGATTTTAATATAGATAAGGAATAGCCGCAATCTGGGAAATACGGTCCCAATAGTTTCTTAAACTTTTTAAGCGCATTCAGAAACATTTTGTATGCATTTGATTAGTTTAACCATGGATAATGCCACGTGAAAAATAATTTTCAGTAAACATTTATTATTTTATTTAGTAATAATTTAGTGCAATTTTTTGCATCATTTTAAAGAATCTAATCTTTCCTGGTAAAATTTAAGCGAAATCGGTCGAATAGTTCCAGACAAATTAAATTTTAAAAAAGTCGTATTTTTAAAATTCGATTTCTCAGACACTATTCAACCAATTTTTGCTTTAATTTTTTTATTAAACATTTTAAAAAAATATTTTAGATAATTCAAAAAAATTATTAAATTAAAAAAAATTTTTTTTTAAAAGTTGATATAAAATTATATTAAAAAAATATTTAAAGTCATACATACTTTACGATTTAAAAGTTTTTCGACTATTAATTAATAAAATAAAAAATATTAATTAAAAATTATTTTTGCATGAAATTATCTTTGGATTAAATGAATTTCATAAGTGAATGTCAAAAGTTTTAAATTCGCTTAAAAATTTCTCAAGAAAAAGAAAAAAAGAACATTTAACATTAAGAGATTCAACTTAACACCGCTCTCCTGACCAAACTATCCGGATCCGCGACTACTCCCTAGATTTTGGGAGTCAAAAGTTCGAATCCGTCTAAAAAAAGGTATGTTTATTCAGAGAAAGTACATTTTTTCGAGAAAGTACATTTTGTACATTTTTTTCGAATAATTTAAAATATCGCCTGCACTAAATTAATAATCATATTTGAGGTGACCCATCCAAACATTAAGATTTAAGTCCTAGAACGTGAATATCATTTAATTAAAAGCTAATCAAAATAGTCGTTTTTTTTATTTATTTATTTATTTTTCGCCTTGTACATTGTTATGAATAAAAATGGGAAGAAAAAAAAAGAATAAAACACCCTGAATTTTTTCGGGTGATCGGATTTTCACGCACTAAAATACAAACTTATAATGCAGGGCAACCTGCGGCTCTTGGAAGGATAATTTGTGGCTCTCGATAAATGTACTCTAGTTCCCTTTTCATTTTTGTAACACAAAACTTTTGTTTTCTACATTTCTTTATTTACTTCCAGTTCTTTTAAAAATATGACAGAGAACTAAAATAAAAAAGCGAAAATACGAGCAAGAAAATAGACGTTTTAATAATGAGTGGGAGGAGAATTTCTTTTTTATTGACAATAACGGAAAAGCATTATGTGTTGTTTGTAATTCTACGGTCAAAAATTATAAAGCTAGCAATTTACGTCGACATTATGAACTCAATCATCCTCAGTTTTCTAATCAGTATCCACCTAATTCCAAATTAAATCAAATTTAAATAAACAACAGTCAATTTTGATGACTTTTAGCAATCAAGCTAATACTGTGGCTGAAGCCAGTTTTGTTATTGCTTGGAATATTGCTCGTATGGAGTGGAGAGGGAGAGGAGTTAATTAAAAAAGAAAAAAAAAAAAAACTTGGAAAACGTACTTAAAGTTTTAGATCCAAATAATGCAACATAGCACCAAGTTGTTTCGCGAATTCCCATCTCGAGACACACAACCGAACGACACTTAACTGCAATTATACATCTCTTGAATATTATTTAAAAAATTATTTGAAGAACTGTATTGCATATTGCATTCAACTTAGCCCTTGACGAATCGACAGATATCACAGATCTTCCGCAATCGGAAATTTTCATACGTTTCGTTTCACCTGACTTCGTTGTTAAAGAAGAATTATTATTAGATTTAGTAGCACTTCAAGAGTCAACCCGCAGTGTCGATATTAAAAATGCATTAGATTCCATAATGAAAACTTTTGATGTGCCTCTTAGTAAACTTGTAAGCATTGCAACTGATGGAGCTCCGGCAATGCTGGGTAAAAAAAATCGGTCTTATTGGGCTTTACGAGATGATTCTCAAATTCCACGATTCATATTACCGATTCACTGCATAATTCACAGAGAATATCTCGTTACAAAATATTTAAAATATCCTGATGTTATGAAAATAGTGTTACACATTGTAAATTACATTCGCACCAATGCATTAAATTATGGGGTCCAAAGCTTGAACGCCATAATGTTGATTTTACTTTTTACGTATTTCGTTATAACTATAGAATATTTTAAGCAAATATAAAACATTTTTTGCAGAATTTAAAAATTCGTTTACTCAAATGTAATTTTGTGCAGAAAATATTTTTGAATAATTAATTACTTATTCTCCTTTTTATTAATTTATTTAATAATCGTAAGAAAAATTTTGGATTGTAAGGCACATAATTTTTAACATATTTAAAAGAATGTCATTTTACATGGAAAAATTAGCAATACTTCATTCATTATTAGTACATTATTGAAGGATAAGGTATACTGACTGGAGTAGGCGGTCCGCTGGGTCCAAAAAGTAAATAAAACAAAATAAAGTAAAATAAAAAAAAATATTGTAAAAAAAATATATTTGAAGAAATGTTTAAAAAAATAATTTTATTTCAATTAACAAAATAAAATACGAAGAATAGTTTTCACAAAATTATGTTTAATAACTTTCACATGATCCTGGCTGAAAATTACTAGATCCCCTCCAAAATAAAAAAAAAAATCGTATTCAATCGCTTAAAAAATTTGTTTGAGAAATTCAGTTTCTGATTACCATTTCACTATTTTTCAACGTTTTTGTAATTTGTTTGATCCCCTGTTCCATAAGTCAGCATTTAATTTGTACTATTTTCTTTTGAGAAATTTTTTTTCTTTCAATATCACTCTAATTTAATTTAGGTTAAATATAGTTTAAAGTGTAATGGAGATGAAAATAAAAAATTTCTGCTAACTAAAATAATAATATGTGAACGAAAAGCATTTTAAACAAAGTTTTTAGTCACAAAGATTTTTTTTTTAAAAGAATATAATAATAATAACAGTTATTTGTATAGAAAACTTAATGATAATTCTTTTTTTTTTCTTTCAATAATGAATTAAAAAACTTTTTTTTAAAAATTAAATTTTCTTAAAAGGTTTGAATAACTCCTTCTGCCCAAAATTTTTTTAATTTCTTCTAAAAATTCTCCAATATCTTATTTTTTTTCAAAAATTTAAATTTATTATGTTTATTACATTAAACTTTGTAACGGAAATGAAAATTTCTTTTCCTGTTTTTACGTACTATTCAATTCTGAAACAAAATTCTGATCTCTTTTGAAGGAAGAAAAACATAGGGGATTCAGAAAGTGGGAAAAATAAAATAAAGATTTGAATCACGCAATTTCTACATCGCCCCCTAAATATACTACTTTAACCCTCTACTTGGCCAAGCAAAAAGAACGCCGTGTGGACTGGTTCATTTTCCTGCGACGCAGACATTTCAACAACGTTTTCCACGTTTCTACCTTTTCTCAGAAAGATGACTACTCCATCCTCCACCACAACCACGACTGTGTTCACTACCCGCTTCCCTGGAGCTCTTCGATCCGCCGTTCTACCATGACGTTAGGGACACGAACCTGTAATGTAGCTCTCTGATTGGCCACTGAATTTTGTTGATCTGTTTCGAGGTCTCTGCACGATGTGGCGGTAGTGTCCTCGGTGAGATGTTATAACATATTATACTTTATATTCTCTAAATAATATGTTTATTTATTAAACATAGTTTCAAGGAATTACATCTAAGTTTTACGTATCTACTAATTCTATTTGAGGTAAGCATTTTCATTTTAAGCACCGTGTATCGTGGTACTAGCTGTGCTGTTGTGTTCCGTGATCATATATTTATTCGCATAAATGGAGTTGTGAAATGTGATTGTTATGTTTTTGCATGGTTTTATTCTCAGTTATATTGTTTATTATATCGTCTCGATGATTAACTAGTAGATAACTCACAAATTTATTACAACTGTAATTCACTATTTGTTGTTGTCATAAATATGGCGATTGTTCGTATGGGATACAGACCCGATAGGCGGGAGGAAGAAATAGACTGCAGTGCAAATTACGGGGGTTGTAATCAAATAAAAAGTTTGTTTGAGTTCAAACTTTACTGATTGAAGAATGCTTTATTTTGCAGGTACTGCTATAAGAAAAACATGAGTGAAAAAAGTTCTGCTGAAGAAAAGGAGGTAAGTTCGAAAATTATTTAAAAAATAATATTTGTTAATTATTTTTAAATCGTGGTTTAAAATGTTTATAGAAATCAAGTCAGAGTTTTGTATTTGAAGAAAATTTTTTAACAAATTATTCATATATGTTACAATAATTTACTTTTGATGTTTAATATCTTATTCATTTTAATTCTTTAGTGTTTCTGAAAAGTGAATCTAAAATAAATATAAGCATTTATAACTATTTTTTAAATAAATTCAAGAGTGTTAAAAATAAAACATTTTACACTTTATTACATTTTAGTTTTTGATAAGTCTGTTGAAAAATATTGGACATTTAAAAAATGTGCATTATTTTAATAAAAGTTATATATCTTTAATAATTTCATTGTGATGTTGATGCATTATAATATAAGGTTTGCTTTCTGCATGTTAGGAGACAATATTTTTATTTGTTGTATGTTTGTGAAGAATGAATTTTAGATAAATAAAGCCGGTTGTAAATATTTTTAAATAAATTCATGAATGTTAAAAATGAAACATTTTACACTTATTACATTTTAAATTTAAATAATTCTCTTGAAAAATAATGCACCTTTAAAGAAAAATTTGCATTATTTTTAAATTAAAAAAAGCGTCATCTTATTAATAATTTCATTATGATGTGGATGCATCATAATATAAGCAGTGTTTTCAGAAGGGCGGTTCGCCCTGCCTGCTCTATAATCCCCATAAATGCGCCTTTGTCCTTTTTGTAAAAATTAGCCGCCCATCCCTTAAAAACACTGCCTATTTATTCATATTCCAGTTTTTTAAAAAGTAATTCACTTTTAGATAATAATTACACACTGGTGAAACTGTCTGTATTTATAGGTTTAATTCTGATTACTATTACAAATATTTACTTTGTTAGGATTATTCTCAACTCGTTAAATTTATATAAGTATCTTTTTTCTCGGGGAAGGGGATATTAATACATTTTTTGTGGTTTTAACTTTTAAAGTTATTTTTAAATAAACTTTTTGTTTATTTTCTCATAATTTTTAGTTTAAATTATATAGAAATCAAGTTGTTTATCAATTGAAAAATTTATTTAGCTTACTATTTTGGAAAAAAATTATTACCAAAGATTATCTATTAGCATGCCTTTAATTATTTTTATAAAACTACAAATTTTCTTCTGATAATGAGAGATAATCGTCTTTTGAAATATGCACATAAAATAGTATAGGTGGGTAATTTAAAAATTGTTGAAGATCCAATTCAGTTATTACATAATACACATTTTGATAAATTTTTATGGACTTGAATGAGTGCCTTTTTAAAACTTATAGTGCTCATTTTTGAAAGGCAGTGCGTCTTGCCCTTTTTTATTCCTAGGGAGAACTAATATATAAGGCTTGCTTTCTGCATGTTAGAAGACAATACTTTTATTTGTTTACGTAAATTTTTTAATTGTAAAGAATTTTCTTAAATTGCAATGATGATTAATTTTTAAGGTTTTGTATTGTGTGATTACAATATTGTCTTCATCAGTAATTGAGATGCATACAAAAAAAATTAAAATTTATTTTAATGGTTAATAATTAAATTTCACTTTACTCCTGTATTATCAACCTTGTTAGTATGCTTGTAAATTCAGAAATTATTTGTGTGCTTAAAGTACTCAAAAGTTTTATTCAATACATGTAAAAGTCTTACTGACAAGATTTTTGTATCGTGATCTGGATATTGTCACGTTTCTACTTGTACCAAGGTGGCTACAAGTTATAACTTAAAGCTACCCCAGCTAATCTCTACATATTTTTTTTTTAATGTGCAAGTTTTAAATCGATTTATGGCAATTGTAGTTGGCATGCCAGATCACCATACAGACATATCCCCGTTTTATTCAAGCATAATCAGTTCTTTCATTGAAAGTTAAGTTTAGTCCTTGGATTCTATTGTAGATGAACTCATTTTATTATCCTATGTAAATTTTACTAACTAATATTTTGTAAGAAAGATTCACAAATTATTAATACTAGTGATGCTTAAGTGTGGTAATAAGTCCTTAATATTAATATACTTATTGTAGGTGACTAGCATATACCACTGGCCACAGCCTTCCAGATAACAATTGGCTGTTGCTGCAGTGCTTTACATTTTGCAGAAAAAGATATTAAAAATTTAAGAAGACAATCTTAATCTTCTTTAATCTCAATCTTTAGATAGAAGACAATCTGAATCTTTTAAATAATTTTATGCCATAGATGTAATATATTTATACCAATATTTTAATTTATGTTAATAATGTTTTAGCTTGAAGATAAAGTAGAAGATGGGTTAGATATAGAAGATTCTTTACTTGAACCAGCAATACAGTTATCGACAGATGATAATGGATTAGAACAAACTGAAGATTCTTTACTTGAACCAGCAATACAGTTATCAACAGATGATAATGGATCAGAACAAACTGAAGATCAATTTTTTCCATTTGATAATTTGTCTGTTGAGATCAATGAAGGTGAGGAAGAAAACACATCATCCAAAGAATCTAGTGAACAGCAAAGCACAATATTTGAGGAAAATAGTTTTAATGAATCAGTAGAAAATGGACAAGAGTTGAGTAATGGTATATACAATTCTAATAGTATGTTAATTTTACTCCATTTTATTTATTTATTATTTTTTTAACCAAACCTTTAGACAGAGATATTCAATATGTAATCATTTTGCTTTTTCAGCAATTGAAAATGCTGTTGCGGATTCTACTGTTCCTGAGTCAAATGAATCTTCACGAGAGGCCACATTTGAGGAACGTAATGTGATAAAAACAGAAGAATCTGAAGTATGTGATTATTTAATTTTTCCTAGAATTATTTAATTAATTTGCATCAAAGTTTAATGATTTTATGACTTTGATTTTCTTTGTCTCGATTCATATTAAGCTTATATTTGTTAATGATTCCATTATAGATTTTTTTTTTCTTCTTTGTATTATTAGGAATATCCAGCTACAAATTTATCAGATTATTTATTTTCTGAAAGTAAGTCATGATAATTTTTATTTATTTATTCATTTTAAATGTGATATATAATTGTTGATAATGGCTTTGAGTTAATAAAAAGAGGCAATAAAATGTGTCTTTATTAGATGTGACATGTAAATATCTGTAGATTGTTAGATTTAAGTTTCTGAATAAAGGTATTGTAGTGTGCCTTTTAAAAGAACATTATCAACATGTAGCTAACACACTTAGAATTATTATTATTTTACTTGTTAGGAAATTATAAGTTACAGCTCCTAATTTTTAAGTTAACTGCTAGTTTTAATGTTTCTTTCTTCTCTCCCTTTAACTTTCTATAAATTAATTCTTTAAAATATACATAATCCTTTTTCCTAATCCTTTCTTTTTCAAATAAAAGTGAAATAAAAAATTTCTCTATCCATCACAATCTTACAATCTACACACCTCATGCACAATTAAGATACATTTCTTTTATTGGGAGGAGTACTTATTTCTCTAAAAAAGATAAAATATTTCTCTATTATTATTTTAAATTAAATCTTTTACAAATATTTCTTCCTTAATAGAATTTCTAATTTATTTCATTATAATTATATAAATGCACATTTTTTTTCTTCAATTATTCAACCTCACAAATTTTCAAATGATGTTTTTAAAAGCATGATATTTGTTTTTTTTTTTAGTTAAAATTATTATTCTGTTTATATCACAAGGATGTCTCACAATTGTAAATGCATACGAACACTCAAAAATGTTCTTGATTTTTCAATTAGAATCTTTAAATGTTATTAATTTGTTGATATTATATTTAGCTTCTATGAATTATGATGAAGGCTCAAATTCCGCTTCAGAAGAAACAAAAGAAGAGACTAAGAAATATCAATTGTACAGATTTGGAAAAAGTAGGTTTCATTTTATTTTGTTGATTTTGAAAAAAGAAGAAGAAAAAAACATTAAATAAAATATGCATTTTTTAAATTTTAACATATTTTTAAATTTATTATTTTATTGTCATTTGCATGTATGTATATTTTAAAAAAATTCTCAAACCAGACTAAATTTGTGTGAACCAATTAGATATATCAATTTTTATATTCCATGCTAAAAAAAAGTTCTCTTAATTCCAGATCTAATTAAGCACCTGTGCCTGGTAAACCTGTAATTGAGGGGTATATATGAAAGATAGGGTTAGGAGCACTGGTTTAGTGAAATTATATAGCAAGAGCTTGTTTCCTTTCATTCTACATATTTTAAAGCTTAGTGGTATTATATACAGTCAAACCTGTTTATTTCGTGTCTCACAGGAAAGGCGAAAAATTTTATATTAAGAGGTTTCTAAAGATTTTTGACCTCTAACCTTCTTTGTTTCGATTATTCTTTTAAGGTTAGAATGAGCAGCAAATCCCTCATAGCCAACATTTTCCTGGGATTCAAGAGTAGTTTGTAAGAGTTCTACAGGTTTTTCTACCTCTTTAGCTCTCACTTTTGGTTTATCAATATAATCTTCTTCATCTGATATTCCTTTGAGGGTATCTATGATTTCTGCATCTATCATTGTTCTGCATGTTGCCATTCAAATGTCCACTTGTAAAAATCTTTGAAATTAATGTCAACATTAAATCCCGATTTTATTGCATTACGTTCTTGCAAATCTGGCTCTGCGATTCCAGCGTCAACAGTTTCTTCTTCTTTACTGATGCCTTCAACCTCTTGTTCATCATCTTCACATCTATTCTTAAAACCAGCCTTTTCAAAACCATTTTGGATAGTTTTTAGAGACACATTTCTCCAGGCATAACAATCTTTTTGATAGCATCCGACACATTTATTTTTGGAAGAAAATTCTTTTCATCGAAGGCACCTACAAATTGCGTACCAACTGTTTTCTATAGTTCACTTTAAAACTCCTAATTATCCTTTGATCCATTGGTAGGAATTTTGAGGTGAAAATGAAATTCTGTTCATAACTTTCTTATCTATGTTGAAAAGCTAACTCCTGGTGCTAACTCCCTCCTACTACCCCTCACGTACTGCCAGAATCATTGCATTCCTTTCTAGTTGATGAAGTGCAGTTATAATGATGGAAATTCCAAGACACATCCCCAACCTGTTTATCTCTACTTCCTGTGGGCTCACGAAATTAATCTCTGCCTGCAAGTTTTATTGATAAAGAAGTTTTGACATTGGGGCATTTGTGCTCTATTATTAAAAATTCGAGAAACTGAGTTTTTGAAAAAACAATTTTCGACATAAACATGGAAAATACATTGATTTTAGACAGTAAATATAGGGAATTTTAGAAATTTCAAGGTATGGAGATTTTCGAGATAAAGAGGTTTGAGATAAACAGGTTACTGTATATGTATATATTATAAAGTATAATTAATGTTGTTTTATTCCTAAATTGGATATTTTCCCTATGGTGCAAAATCAGATAATATAAATTTTCACTTTATTCAATGGCTACTCCTTTTATTGGTTATTTATAGTCTTTAACTGTATTATTTATTTATTATTTGAATATTTACAATACTTCATTTTGATTACCTTTAGTTATGAAAAATGTACAGATGGCTGAATATGAAACTCTTCAAGTTCTTTATCAGCTTTTATATCAAAGAAGTGCATGGGTGAGTGTTAATTGCAAATGATTGATTCTTTTAAAATAGTAAATATTTTTTTTACTATTTGAAGTTAATGTTAAGCCATTCTTAACTTAAATTTCATTAAATTAGAATTTATCATGCTTTCTTTGTCATTAAAATCTACTTTTTTTTAATTTTAATTAAAGCAGTGTTTTTCTATGAAGAGCTGAAGATAAAAATGTTTATTGTTAACTGGAGTTGATTGTAGTTTATACTGTTTGTTAAGTTTTATTTTTGAAATATTATAGTTAAAGTTTCATTTCCCCCTTCCTTCTCTTTTTCTCTCATAGTTTAACCCTCCGCACGTTAGTGGTTTCTAGGCACTAAACTGTTGGCCCCATTAGTTTTCAAATTTACACGTTTACAAAATGCTTTTAAACTTCTTATAACATTAGTAAATTATAATATATTTGAAAATTTGTACTTATATTTATTTCAATTTTTTGACTATCTAGAAAAAAAATATTTATAACATATTTTCCTTGACATATAAGTAACTTAGGCCTAGGTCCCTCAGGCCTTATGATAAATACGGCCTTGATTAGTCCCATCTTTTTCCAAACTTTTAGCTTGTTGACTCTCTGCATCTATAAAAACTTATCTGTATTTTTCAGTGGAAAAGCAATGCCTAGCAACACCAAAGAGTTTATCAGGGTGCATAGCGTTTTTGAAAAGTGCTTTAAGGTGCTTATTTTTGATTTTCGTTGGATGTTTTTAAAATGTGCTTAAATTTCCCTTTCCGAAATGAGATATTCTCTTTACCATATCAATTTTTGATGCGCATTTCGCAAAAAGCGTGACTTTCACATTGTTCTATTTAACTTTCTCACAATTCATTCAACTACAGCTCAGCATAGCATCCGTCTGTAGCGTATGAAAGCGCCAATCATTTTAAATGTTTGATGAAGTACTTGATGATTCTTGCATTCTAATGAGCAATTTTGCGCAAGATAGTCTTCAATTTCAGGCTGCATTTTTCGCCCTCTGAAATGACCTGGAAAATCTCTCGAATTTTCGTTAATCGCGGGTACCTACATAGCCAACTTTTCCCCCTAAAAGCAAAACAAAAATTTATTACTCTTGTTAATTTCATCTTTGGTGAAGTACCATCGTCTTCGTCACTGATGACCTTCTCCCGCTCTTCTATTTATACATCAGTATCATAATCCTTGAACTTAGCTTGGGATTCATTCACTACTTACATATTTTCATGTGTGTCCCCAAAGTAGTAATCACAAAGTTTCATCTCAAAATTTCCATCTCCCTTTTATCTATTTAATTTAATAAAGATAAGAATTTATTGAGATTTTAATTCGCACGATTCTTTACTGGAGGGACCGCTCACCAATTGCATAAAAATTTTTAAAACTTTTATTGTACTTTATTACTTTTTTTACTTATTACATTTTTTCCCTTATTACTTTTTATCATTGTATTATTAATTTCAAATTTTTTTCGTGCTCTTAAATTTTTTTTATGAAGAAACTACATAATATTATAGGCAAGATTTTAAAAATGAAGTGAAGAACTTAGGCTATTTTAAATTAGCAAAATTCTTATGCTATTCAGATTTTTCATTCCAACAAACTTAAATTCATCTTTTAATGATTTAATCTAAAAACTTCCAACAAAAATATTTAGCTTCAATATTCATTATATATACATATCAAAATAATTTTAAAAAAAATTAATTTCAGCATTTCATTTAAGAAATACTGAACCGAGAAACAAATTTTAATAAAAGTTTATTTGAAGCCATTAACTAATTTGTGTTATGAATTTATTAAAGTTTTCTTAGTTTACTTAATTCTTTAAATATCTTAATAAATTTTTATGATCAATAATATTAATCTTGTTAATGTTTTGGTTAATATACTTTTATAAATAACCTTTATTTGAATTTAAAAAATTAATTTGATAACCTTTTTAAATTATAGTTAAATTATTATAAATTTTGAATAAATTTTTTTTTACATAATTGTGTAAAGTAATTATTAATTTAAAAAGTAGAATGATCCACTCAATATTGAATATATTTAAAATTGTGCTTAAAAATATTTTTTGAGTGCTTAAAAGGTGCTTATTTTTTTGAGTAAATTTGGCTAAGCACTATGTTTCATTCTGCAGAAGGTACTCAGAATTGTTATTTATGTCCTAGAACAATATGAGACTTTGAAGAATAATATAAGAATAGTATAATTAAATAAAATGAATGAATAATTATTATTTAGTAGCTATTCTGCATCTTTATTTTTATGAGTACATTTTTCTTTTAATGTAGTTGTGTTACTTTAAACATTTCGAAATCAATTAAATGTAATTACTAACATAGATCAACTCTTTTGTCCTATACACTTATGTTTAAGGTATAGTTGCTACTTGAATTCCTCTTTTAATTAAATATTTGATTTCTAGCTATGATTGTTTTTGCTCTTTTAATTTGAAAAGGAAACATTTTGTAGCTTTTTTTTTATTCAGCTATTTTTTACTTTTATTTGCAATAAAGTCTATATGGATACATATTGTTTTTAGGATACTCAAGAAATTCTAAAGCAGAGGATTTTGGAATTTTCTGGGTTTAATTTCAATAATAGTAGTGAAGAGTATTTTAATCGAGATATGATGCTCAAAACGTAAGTGTGTATTTTAAAATTTATGAAAAATATTGCTCAAGTTTTTTCACTTTATAAAACATTTTTGTTGTGTCACAAGAGTTCTGTTAGCTATTGGTCGAATACAAAATTGTTTGCATATTTAATATGTAGAAAAGGATTTTTTTGAAATTAAAGATTTGAATAATATATCTATTTTACTAAAAGAGTAGTATATAATTGTCCTTGGATCAATTACTTATTCATTAATCGTCAATTACATTGTATTTCCATATATTGTCATTCCCAACAAAATATTGACTAGATAATAATGTGTTATATTGCAAAAGTACATTTTCATCTAAATGCATGCAAGATGGAATTGCACTTTGAAATTTTCGAAATCATATAAAGTATCTTGAGTATTTCTTTCAAAACATAGAAAAATAAATAATTGCACATTTAGTATTCGCTATAAAAGAATTTTTTTTTAAATTCTTTCCTTAAATTTCTTTTCCTTGATGTATAAAATAAATAAAATATAAGTATGATGAAGTATAAAATAAATAAAACAAAACAAAAGTAAGTTTTCTTGAAAATTACTTTTCAGTGCTCAAATATTTTTTTCTGTCATTCTTATTAAATGATAGTTAAAAAGAAGTATAGGAATTTTCAAAATATGAGGGTTGTCTATTAAATAGTGGCAACTTAACCTTGAAACTAAAAGGGTGGGCATGCGCAAATAGGATATGTGAGCGGTGAGGTGGCGCTGTTGTCGATGTATAGAGTGCAAAAAACAGTCGATCTGCTTAGAAGGGTAGTTGTTGTGTGGCATTAAAGTAAGGAGTTTCGTTTCCGTCGCTCTAAAGCATGTTTTCAAAAGACTTAATGACGAAAAAAGAAGAGATGCTTGAACCCATCGTGCTACGGTCCTATACGGTAAAGCATTTGCGCTACAGGCTTCCACTAATCCTCAATAATTCTTTTTTTCACTCTACACATCGACAACAGCGCCACTTCACCACTCACATATCCTATTTGCACATATCTGCCCTTCTGTGAGTTTCAAGGTTAAATTGCCACTATTTAATTCACAACCCTCGTATATCATTTTTATTTTCTCTAAGCTATTTTATTGACTCAAAATAACCACTTAATTTATTGGTTACTTTGTGGTTTAATTTACTTAATTAAATCTAATTAAGTTTATTTCTAGAGGCTACTAAAAAAAAAAGTTATAACTTATGTAAAAAGTTAACTAAAAAAATTAATTTGAGTTACAAACAAATTTTTTAAGCCCTTTGTAATTTTGTTTTTAAAAATAAAAAATTATTTTTGGTGCTAAAAATATTTGTTTTTATTTCAGGCAACCTAATGAAGTTCTGGTCAAAATAGGGCATGTACTCGGTCTTGATCAAATTCGAAGCATGTATGGCGGGGGAGATAATGCTAGGCTTGATCTCATTTCTGCTATTATGCAATTTCTTACTACAATGAAGTCTTTGAATTCTAGAAGCAGAAGAAGAGGTCCATATGTAAAATCTGGTAAAATCTCTTAAACATCTTAGTGTTTACCAGTGAAAGAAAATTGCAGAGATATTTAAAAGCAATTTTCTTTCATTTGCTGTTCCAGTTTTTCGCTTCGAATAAATCAAATAACACTTTTCAAAGAGAAATATAAAACGTAAAAAGTGCATACTTTTTTTTAAAATTCTCTTAATAACTTGTTAATAATACCATAGTTAGTAATTCAAATTTAAAATAATTATTTGGCACTCTTTATTTTCTGTGCATCAGTAAAAAATTTAGAAATGATAAATGTACCAAGGAGATTTATATAAAATTTATGATTATTTATATTAGTTTAAAATGCCCCATTTGTGCCTGCAAGTAACTTAGCGATTGCCCACACACACTCTTGGGATTGACAACAAACACTAACATGCAGCTTCAGGGTGAGGTGGGAACACTATTCATTACTTACCATATATCATTATTACACCATTCAATATTTACTTTAAGAAATGACATTTTCTAAATAGTTAGTATGTTTTTGAGATTCTTCATATTTATATGCAAAGTATTTTTATTTCTAATATAATCTCCTATTTATTTTTTTATACCAATGATTTCCAATAACTTTCATATTTTGAACATTTTATTTCTGTGATTATCTAAGTTTTATTAACAAAAATAAACATATTGTAACATTTATGGAACTATGAACAAAATATATTAAATTAGAGTTTTAAGTTAGTTTATAAAACAAGAATTTACAAGTGCTACCTTGGACTTGTAAAGTTATTAACTCCATTAGGCTATGTCGGTTCCATCTGTAAAAGAAATTGTTTTGCTTTATTTTTGTACTATTTGATGTTTATGAATTTCATATTAGTTTTTTTTTTTTTTTTTTTAACTTTCTTTGACAGAAATTAAATATAAGGAAAATTCAATTTTTTAAATAGCATCTCTTTTTAGGAATGGTCTCTATTGATATTGCCCCAAAAAATCTTCAAACAAAATGTGGGTAAGTATTTTTTTTTATCTAGTACATCTCATTTATCTAGTTTTCTGCTTATTAAGTTCCAAATATCAGGAAGACAAATATGAAATTTCATATTGGATCCTAATGTTTCTAAATCAAATAATTTTTAATTCATTCTATAAATTTTTCCTTCAATTTACTCAAGTGTTCCTTCATGTCCCTAACGACGACAGGATGCTTGAAACTGAAAAAAAAGCAGTATAATTCCTCCCACGCCGAAAAAAAATAGGACACCCATTACAAAAAGGAGTTTAAAGAACCCAAAATGCCGAACTTTAGTCTAAAAAAAAATTTTTTTTCAAAGAGATACAGTTTAACTAAAAATTAGTTCCTCAATTAAATTTGCATGTTCTCTAAATTGGTTTTAAAATGAGCGTAATTCTCGAGTTTTCAAGATGTTGCATGTGGCAACAATGTATTAAAAAAATCAGTATTTCAAAAACTATGTTAGAATGTTTAAAAAAAATAAAGATAGGCAACTATAATAATTGCCAAAAAGCATAAAATTATTTTGTACAATTTTATTATATTTAATATTTAAAAATTTTGCTAAATATATGTTTGAGCTTAATAATCTCAGCTTGACTATATTGAAGTTGCAGAGTACTGCAAATTGACTCTGAAAATTTTACCGAAATCATATTGTATTAAACTTGGAAATTCATTTAACTGCCTGCATTTTTATAAATGGAAAATTCAATAGAATACTTCTATCCTAATAGCATGAAAAAATTGGTGTGCTTTTTCAAAATGCTTGTGGGTTAAAGTAAGATATTCTACATTCAGGGATTGTCAAAGGGATAAGAAAATATGTATTCAATGCCTTCTTTCAGTAAATCACTGTACATTTTAAAAGGCAGTAGTGTCTTGGAAATCATGCTCATGTTATTTATAGCATAAAATTATAAACAATCATTATCGAATTTTTTTGTGAGGCTTTTTTGTAGTTACTGATGCTAATAAATTTTTTTAAAATAAAAACTTTTGTTCTATTTATTATATGCATACTGATGTTTTTCTCTCTTTCAAATTTAGATGTCTGAATAGGTGTCTTCAAAAAGTCACTAAAGCACAGAGAGCTGCTTTATTAGAATATTTAAAGGAATTGGAAGAAAAACAATTATTAGATAGTTACATATATAATTTAATTGAAGCTAAAAAAAATGTAAGAAGGCCAGGAGAGGAAAAACAAAAATACAGAGAAATAAAATATGAATACAAGGTAAATATTTTCCAACTGTCATTTTTCAAAAATTCTTTTGTGTGTTCTATTAGTTCTTAATTTTCTTATGAAATTTTAGGCAAAATTCGGTCCGAAAGAATTCACTGTGTGCAAAGGGGGTTTTGCAGTTTTTCATGGACTTAAGCAGAGCAAATTATTGCAAATACAAAATAACATAAAAAATGAAACCGGTTTTCCTGCCAAAATTGATATGAAAGATTTCCCATTATTTAATGTTCCTGAAAGCCACAGAAGAAGTAAGTTAATTTCTCAACAAAAATTTTAGGTTTTAAAACTTTTTATCTAGATTGCTACCAATTAAATAACTATATTTGTTGTTTTAATGTTCTTCTCTATGCGAATTTTCAATCAAAAATTCTAATATTATGAAACTACAATTATTTAAAAATTAGTGTAAGTGAGTATCTTAAATATTGCATAAATCTTTTCTTATTTAGGTAACCCTAGAACTGACACAGCAGCTATTTACACACCTGAAGTTAGTAGAATTCATATTTCTAATTAAGTATTCTGATTTGTCTTTTTTTTTTCTTTTTTGAAAATTATTCTTGATTTTATATTCAAGTCTTAATTTAAATGTTTTGTTCAGTATCAAATGATTAAATTTGGAATTATGTATTATGAAATGCAAAATAAATAAATAATAATATGAATATAATTATCATTTACGTTATTTTCAAATTCTGCTATCTTCTTACAAATTCAAAACTTTATCAGAGAATTATCATTTGATTTTCTAAACTGAAATTCCTCTCTGTAAAAAAGCCTATTATTAGAAATAATGTTATCACTCACCCTATTTTTCTCTAATCAATTGAAAGCATATTTTTATTTTACCTAATTCAGTACCCATTGTTTAAGTTGGAAATAAAATTTATTAGTAGAAATGTTGATATAAATCAATGTAAGTTCTGTTTCACTAAATCACTAATGTAAATTACACTTAATACAAATACTTGATCTTGCCAAATTTAGGTGTTTGGATTTCTAATCTCAAATTAGTTTTGCTTCTAAATCTACAATTTTTTTTTAAAGTCACATTCTTAGTCCATTTTTCGTTGAACAGTACAAGTTTTAAAATGTTATACATAACAGGGGGTCATGTAAACATTGCAACTAACTACTAAAGAAGTTACGGCACACCAAAAGGATTAAAATTGCATAAAAACACATGCTTGGAAATGTCATAATACACGGCTTAAATTGCTTACCCATTTAGTAGTGTTCAAATTAACGGGAAAAAGCAGTTCATTATAGGAAAGTGCCCCTAGTGGCATAAGATGACATTTCCAAGCATAGGTTTCTATGCAATATTAATCCTGGTGTGTTTTTACTCTCCTAGAAGTTTTTTGTAACATATATGCGATCCCTTATTATATATGACTTTTTAAATTTGTACATTGCGACAAAAATAAAAGTATTTTTTAAATAAATTAGCTTGGAGAGAGAAACCAATTATAGTTTTTAAATCAGTGATTGATGTTAAAGTACTAAGATCTGTTAAAAAATCACATGCAACAGAAATTATATATTTTTTTTTACCAAGTTTAATTAACTCTAATGTTAACAACTGTGAAGCAGTTATAAAAATATATTGAGATACCAGAGCTTGATACAAAACTTAAATATCTATAAAAATAAAGTCTTTGCACTCTATATCTATTATATTATACTCTGACCCGGGTTTTTGCTGCATTTGATTTTTTTAATTTTTTTTTAATAGAGAAGTAAAAGTAATTTGTTTTGGTCTATTAATTTCAGAAATGAATCTTCAAAATTTAATATAAAAACAGCTAAATAACACCATTTATGCATAATTATTTCTTAAATATCTGAAATGAATCGAATGCAATGTGAAAAAATTTAAAGAAATTATACATAACTGTGTTGCATTTAATCCTGTTTATGATTTTCTTATGTTTATTTGAAAAGTAAAATTTCTGTGTTACCATCTTAATTGAAGTTTTCTTGTAAAGTTATAGAGGGTCTATTTAAAATTTTAATACCCCTATGTAAGCAGATAAGAATCTTTTTTTGAATGCTATTGCATTTGAAAAGTATTCTATTTCAAAATAATAAGATTATAGATTAATATTTCATTGTAATAATGTGAATGCATATTTTTTGAAAAGTTTGAATATTTGTTTTCAATATTTTTTAGTTGATCACTTTTGTTTAAAATGAAACTTCCATCTTTTTATTTTGTAGGAATCCAGTTCAAGGCGAAATTCTGCTCAATCAGAGGATGAATTAAAAGAAATGACTAACAAAGGTACATTTTGTTCTGTTCATTCTTAAAACCATCTGTTTTTATTTTTCTTGTTATTAAAACTATATTATTCACTTCAATATGACTTTAAACGTTATTTCAGCTATTATATTTTAGAAAGAATGGAATTATTGTATTGTCCATTGTTATTGTATTGCATTAAAATCATCATTGTTATATTAAAAGATATAATTTCCAATACTTCTCAATTTTAGCATATGTTATAAGTTTAGTTAATAACAAAGCTACATATAAAAAAGTGTTTACAGTTGTCAGAAATCAAATCAAAGATTCGTAATCTGATGCTTATTTATTTTTTAATCTCGATTCTATTTTTGTTAGTTTTGTTAAGAAATAATTTCATTTATAGCATATTCGCACCTGATTATTTTAAAAACTTTTATTTTTCAAAATCTATAAAACTTCCTACATTTTTTTATCTAAATTCAGTGTGTTTTGATTGTTTATTAAAAAAAATATTTTTTGAAACCATTGTATTTTCATTTTTCAAGCACTTTGCAAATTTCAGAATGTTGAATATTTAGGATTAGCAACACTTGCTAACTTTAAAATACTAATAAAAAATTTATAAAGCTTGTTCTCAAAAGCCACTGAAAAACTATTTTTAGATTTGAAGTTACACATGGATGTTAAAAAATGTATACATGTATTATAAATCTGCTATCATAAAACTGGAAAATATTATACTAGCTGACTAAAAACACATAACTCAGTAAAAAATCAAGTAATAATATTCTAATGTTTTTTGTTAAAAATAACCTATTGTGATTTACATTTACTCCAGTTTTTAGTAATTTTAATTAGTTTTAAAATTAAAAATCTGATATTACCAGCCATTTCTATTTAGCTAAAGTCAACATTGTGGTTATAATGTATTTATTAAAAAAAAATAATAATAATTAAATTGAGCTATATTTAGGTCTTACAGAATGAGCCATAAGTTTAATTTTTTTAGTCAAAAACATAGATTTTACATTTTTGAAAAACATAAGCAAATAATAACAAAATGAGTAAATATAAAAAGAACAAATACAATACAAATTTTAATAGTTAAATTCTAAAATTTAAAATAAAGAATAAGCAACAGCCAAAAAAAGTTACATTTTACTTTCCCTTAATTAACATGAAACCTAAAGATCTGAAATCTTAACTGAAAGATTGAGTTAAAAATATGTGTCTTTGTTAATAAAAATTAAATGTGGATTCCAGAAGAACTAAATATTTTATTTCATGCATTTTCAACTTAGTATGTGTTCAAATATTCATTCGCTCTGCAAATTAATGCTTTAATTTTTAACTTAAAGTTTATTGTATATTTGTTATTATTTCTATTTATTACTTTTTATTTTTGAGTAATATCTTTTACTTTTGTAGTATTATTTTTGAGTAATATCATCTTTTGCTATCATTTTTAGTTGTTCCCAAACTTATTGTAGAGAAACTTCAAACAAATGATGCTGAAAATAACAAATACAAAGTGGTAAGAATAAAATTTTTAAATGAAATATTCTTTACAAAATTATAATGTAATGTAAACTCTCTTGTACTGAACTTTCAAAGTTTTTCTTTTATTAATAATTTATTTTTCCCATAACACTAGAACCACAGCCATTTTCCTACCTAGTTCGATAATTATTACGTTTTGCTGCAATTGTATTTCTAATAAAAATGTATATTTTATGTAAAAACATGATAATTGACTAATGAAAATTACATTTGAAATTAATTATTGACAAAAAAGTCTTAAAGCAGATTTTTTTTTTTTAAAGGGTAATATTTTTTGTTTTAAAATGTTTTCTGAATACTTTATATGTCAGACTAATGTATTTTATGTTTCATCACATTCCTTTCTGAAAATCCAAAAATCAATATTCTCTTCCTCGATTGCTAATCCATAATTTAAAAAAAAAAAAATTCTTCTCAATACTTATTTCCTAATATTTCCCACATTTAAGGATCAAGTTTATTTTGTTTTTGGAAAATGGGTATTTTGACTATGCTTTTAAAAAAGCTAGGAAGGCATGCAAGTTACTAATAAAGGAATGTAACTATCTTAAAATATTTTTAAGGTTTAACATAGAAAATTTCTCAAAATTTAGCAAGTATTTCATGTTCTAAAAGCAGTGGTTACCAACTGGCGGCCTGCGAAGCCTTTTTTTGTGGGGCCCGCAAACTAAAATATATTAGTTGTTTTTTTGTAGACAATTTTCGTAAAAAATTTATTTTGGTTTAAAATATTTTTCTTTCATTTAAAAAACCTCATTTCTTCTTTTCTGTGAAGTTTAACATACCAATGGTGCAAAAAAAAAAGTATTTCTCAGGTTTTGCATTCAAAAAAGTATTTATTCAGATACAAAAATAATCGTGTATCTTTCTGTTTTTTATTTTGTATTTTGTGAATATAATTTAGCAAGTGCGTATCAGAAATTTTCTCGAAGAAATTTGCAAATTTAACTTTTTAAAACGCATAAAAGAGGGAATCATGTTTTATTCAAATTCCTTGAATTGAATATTGCATGAGCGGAAAAGAAAAAAAAAATTAATTTCAGATGCTCTAGAATTTTTTTTTTTTTTTTTTGCTATAATTCCTAATAAGTCGGAAAAAAATGTTAATTTGTCATAGAATTAAATTAAAAAAGAAAAAATCTTGTCACTAAGTTTCTGATTCGAAATAATACGTAACAAGCATTATTTGTAATTCTTGTTATTTTGCTTTTTAATATTAAAAAACTTTGATAAAAATCTGACTGTAATATTTAATGTTCTTTGAAACATAAGAGTCCTATATAAAATTTTGATAAAGTTGCTGCCCGCTATTTGACTGGTGTTTTTAATTGCGACCCCTGGCCACATGTAAGTTGGAAACCCCTCTTCTAAAGTGGCAAGAATTATAATTGCATTACCTAAACATCAAACAGGTACAGTTAAAATAAGTTCATTAAATTTTTTCTCACTTTTACAGTTATCAGTTTCATTATTTAAAACCTTTTATATTTATTTTAGCTGTTTTAAACAGTTTTTGATTTTTCTCAAAATAGGAAGAATTTGTATTTGTTGGGGAATTATCTTTTGAAATTAGTTGAAAATTATTTGGCTACTTATTGGCAACAAAAAGTTCTAAAGCAAAAAAAAAAATTTTTTTTTTGAGGTACTTCTTTCTTAAAAAAGGAATAAATTAGTTTCAAGGCAACATCTTACTGAACTGCATACTTTTTTTGAAAAAATTGTTTTTTAGATTAAAATATTAAAAAAATATTTGCCATATGATCAATACTTTATTAAACATACATATTTCTATATATTTCGTGTTTCATCACATTTATTTTATTTTATAACATATTTGTCATGTACTTTTTTAAACAAGAAAAAATTATACACTAAAAGGAATTGTTCGAGATCTTCATGGCTGTCTTTTTGATAGCTTGCATATTTAAGTAGCAATTGTAGTAAAGATGTTTTGCTATCAGTCATGGTTAGAAATTCTTTTTATATTTTCATTCTGAAGAGTGGAAAAACCAGTTTTTTTTTGGTTTATTTAAAACAAAAGGTTGAATAACACGTTAAGTACCAAATTTATAGTAATTTAACGATTGAAAAAGTTTCTTATGGAAATATTTTTAACTGTTAATTAATTTTGATGAAGAATGCAATCCAAAATATTCATTTTTGCTCATAAATATGTGAATGTGATAAAAAAATATAACAACTAAAGATTGTGAATATTTATTACAACTCCACTTAACAAGCAAATAAACATGTAATATCTAAATGTTTTTTTTAATAGTATATATGTGTAAAAGATAAGTTTACTGCCTTGATTGTTAGTATATAAAGAATTATAATTTAAAATTAGTAGTATTAATGTCCATATTTAGCAGTATACAATTTGTAGTAGCTACAACTACCCATTAATTGTTTTAAAATTAACATTTATTTTTAATTTTTTGAATCAATACAAATTTTGATATAAATGAGCGTAAGATATTCAATGCAGTATATTTTCTCAATAAAAAAATATTTGCAATTCGTAGAATGAGTATAAGTCTGAGCATATAAAATAATAAAGGTTTGTTCTAATATTAACATTTTAAAAAATAAAGCTTGCCGAATACGCTAAAATGCTTTCTTGGAAAAACTGATTGCCAACATTGGTTTGAACTGATTAATATAGCAATTAATCTGCCGCTGATGTTCTATCTATTTATAGATTTCAAGTAGTTGAATCAAAGTTAGAATCCCATAACTTTTATTTCATAAAGTCAACAGTATTTTTGTATTATTTATTGTGTATGTTTATCTTATGTATTTATATCATAAATATCAATATTATAATTAAATTTCTTGTTCATTCTGATGTCACATAGCATTTCAGTAAAGAGATTTGGGTTTGAAAAGGAAGGTTTATAAAGAATGACATGAAATTTAATGCTCAGATTATTAATGTTTTTTCTAAGATCCCATTCCTTAAATAGTTCTGATTTTGAACATTTATATTATTTTTTAATTGATTGACAGAAATTTTAAATTGTCAATACTATAAGAAATATTTGTAAAGTGTAAAAAAAAAAAATCCCAAGCTTTTTGAAAGTTATAGTTAATATTTTAAAGAAGGGGAGAAGAACAGTTTAGTTCACAAGTTGTTCTTCAAAGTATTTTAGTTTATCTCTCAAAGCATATAATTTCTTTTGTATTTCTATCCAGGTTTCCCAGGTATTTAAACGTAAATCGTGGGAAAAAGAGGATATGTTAAATGCTATGACTTGTGTAAAACAAGGAGAAGCAGGATGTGGAGTTGCGAGTAAAAAGTTTAATGTTCCTAGGTCAACTTTGAAACGATATATGTCAGACTATTATGAATCAGACTCCACAATTGAAGAATTTCTTGATGCAAAATTGGGCCTTAGCCCATATGTACAAAAGTCACCAAAAGACGTACCCAAAAATATTTCAAAAACTCCACAAGCACCAAAGGTAAATATAAAGTGTGCATTTCATTAAGACAATGAAATTGTACCCAGTGCATGTCAGAGAATGAAATCTAATTTTAGAGTACTCTTCTACGTTTTTACTCTCCAAAGATAAAAGCTTGTAAATGATTCGTAGAAACTGCATGCTTTGCGGCCAAGTTGATTTTCAGTTCGTAACCCCTCTACATCTGTTACTTTTGTATTTGCCAGCATCAAAAATGCTATGCTCAAAACAGCATATTAATTATTCCAAGGAAACAAATTGCAGAAAAACCTATTTTCTGTTATATTTAGTTGTTCAAACTTATTTTATTGGGTAAACATTGTACAAATACAAAAATAAGTTGCAAAGTAGTTTGCTATAATCATATGTCTGTATACCATTTGGTACATTACATTGTTAATGAATATACACTTTAATTTTTATAACAAAAACATCATCACGAGAAATATATAAATGAGTTTATTATGTCAGGTATTATGAAAATATCAGGTAAAATGAAAATAGTAAAAGAAAATGTTATGTATGTGGCTAATGTGCAATTATTTTGCATTTGTATGGCTATTGCTATTTTTATTAAAACCTTACTATGAATACAAATTAAGTGCTTATCAAGCTTACTAATAATTAAGTAGCTTAAAAATAATTAATAATGTTATTATTCATATTTGACTCTCACTTTTATTGTAACAATCTTTAGTTGATGACCTAAGATTTCAAATCTAAAGTGTCGAAAAATGTATTTGTAATCTAGATTATAATTCGTTCTGATATTAATTAAATTGGATCGATTAAATGATGACTTTTTACCATAAAGTTCTCCCAGCATTTTAAATTTATTGCGCAATTTTTATGTACATTATTTCATGTGTTCAAAAACTTATATGATCTAAATGTAAGAAAAAAATGAATGGTGTTTAAATTTCTATAATTTTATGTAATTTGTCAGATGTATATGGTTATTCCTTGAAACAATAAATATTACAATTTTCATTATTTAAACAATAATTATGATGATTTACTTTCCTTTTGGTATACTTTCCTTGTGGTGTGGTTTTATTTTTATTAGTTTTTTATATTTATTTTGGTGTGGCTTTCTTTATTTTAGTGTAGTTTTTGTTATTTTGGTATGGATATTTTCCTTTCTATTTTTCATGTTGTCAATTTCTCCTGATATATTTTACTTAAAATATCTTTATTGTATGGCTTTAAAAGGAATAAAAATAATAATTTTAACATTGTTTGTTCATCCAAATTCTAAGTTAATTAATCATTGAATTCTTATATTTTACAGCCTGAACTGGATGATATATATAAGATAAGTTCGATTGAAGGTAAGGTTTCAGTAGTAATTCTTGGAAATTCTTTAAAATTTGTGAAATTTTATTTACTTTTCCAAATTTGATTTAAGTGTTTTTATCTTTTCTCAGTTTATGGTTGAATATTCCGAAACAATATGCACATCAAACCATTGTAGACCTTTCTAATTTTCTGTTTCTTTTTTTTTTTTTCAAGTAAAATATTAAGTTTAAATATTTGTTAAATTTGAAATTATTTTAGATTTGAATAAGTTTGTGTATTTCAATTTTTTCATTAGTTTCCTTAAAAATATCCATACTTTTGTCATCCATTTAGTACATGTTTTTTCCCCCTTTTGTATGCTAATTTAGCTATAAAAGTTGTGAGAATCAAATATTTGCATTAAAGATACTTATAGACAAAAGTTTCTCAATAAAATATGTATTAATTAGCTTGTGATTGATATTTTAAACAATGCATCACAGATTATGAAAATCTTTAAACATAATATTATTGAGCAACAATTTTAAGAGTTAATTTAAATCCAATCAACATATGTTGTGAAATTCAGTTAGGTTGTTTTAAACCTGTGGCTATGCCCATGGTTATGGTGAAGTTAAAACCTTAATTTTTTTTTTAATTAAAGAGACAAATTCCATGATGAGAAATCCCCTCTTTTAAAATAATCTTAATTTTGTCATTTTTATATGCTTTATAATTTATTAATAATGCTTTTGTACTAATAAGCAAATATTTTTGCATGTGAATAGATTTTTCTTTAAACTAGTTTCTTTTCCTTTCATAAGTTTGTAATATTAAAACTGATAATGCACTTAGAATTTTTTAAACAAAAACTTTAATATAGTTATTCCTAATATATTTTTGATAGCAGTTTATAATAATATCTTATTTAAAAGAAAGAATAATATATAATTGCATTAACATGTTTGTTTAAAATGAGATTGTATTTAAGTAAAAAATGAATAAAAATTGCCCATATTAGAAATAATGTATATTTTCCATTTAAAACAAGTAATTTGAATAAGATTAAATTCATTGACATTATTCTACTTGTTTTGGAAAAACTAATTTATTTTTGCATTTAAAATGCATTGTTTAGTTAGGTTATGATGCTGTGTTTTCATCTCAGAAAAAAAAAATGGGTGAGAATTTCTCACCCTTTCTCAAAAACAGGGTGAGATTTTAAAAAGTTAAGTGAGATTTCAAAAATTTAAAAAAAAAAAAAAAAAAAAAAAANGCTGTTCTCATTAGGTTGATCAAATGCGTGTTTGTTTCGTTCTGATCGTTTCTACCCACATTTGTTTCATTTTCATTTGTCCGTTTCGGAGAAGATCTTGCCTTTTCAAGGTATTTGTCCATCTTACATTAATGCGCAAAAAATTTGAATTTCTTACATGGAGAAACCTTACCTACGGTAAACATGTGGTTGCAGAGAAATGCGTTCTGAAAGAGGTTCCGTGGTTCGGAGGGATGATATTCTGTTGTTCTTAAAGGTTCTGAACAATACTGGTAAATAGGGAAGCTAGATAATGGGGCAGATGTTGAAAATAATGAAAGATCCAGGAAGAAAAGTGAAACGCATTTTATTCTAATTAGCGCAATGAGAAATTTTTTTCAAAATGCGAGAAATTCGCGAATTTTGAAATTGGTTTATAGAATGCGCGAATTTCTCGCAGTTATAATTTTTTAATGCGAGAACATAAAAAAATGTGCGAGATTCTCGCGCTGTAGTGAAAACACTGTGATGTAATTGTTTTTTGTTTTATTCGTTCGTAGAATTTAAGTTATATAAATATATTATCTTTCTTCCTGTAAATATAATAATGCAAATAACAAAAATTATAGATGTACATTTCTTTATTTTGTTTAATTGATGGACACTTTTTCTTTATAGAAGAAGAGGCAGCAAGTGAAAAGACAAAATTAAAGGAATTTCCTCTAGGTAGGCATTTAATGTATCATTGCTTTTCATTGCCTTTTTGTATTTATTTTCCTGTTCCTATTTTGCTTGATGCATATTTTTTTTGTTGATAAAAATGCATTTTTAACATTAGTTTTTAAAGTTAATATTAAACGATCAGATTATTTTCCTAATGCTTTTATTTGTTAAAGTGTTACTGATCAGTTGCTTTCTACCTTGTCACCATTTGTTACTGAAACAATCTTAAAACGATTTTCGTAAATTCAAAACGATAGTTAATGAAATTTTCAACCCCATGTAATTGACCCTTAAATCAGAGTTACTTTGTAGCTAATTGTTTGAGTAACTTTTGTACAACAGACTATAAATTAAAAACTTATTGTTTTTAAATTTTCCTTTTTTTTTTTGCTGCAAATAAATTAGCATAAGTTAAATGATAGCTCTTAAATTATTGTCAAACTATAGATAATAAAACAATGTTACTGGGACCGCAAACCTCTTTTTTTCCTATTATTTCGGTACCCCCCTTTTTTCTGTTATTTCACATTTTTTCCAGTTTTGTATTATGTTTTGCGATCATCTCCATGTTTAATTTACTGTTTTATTTCACCTATCAAAGATGAAAGTTTTCTAGTGCTACCTCTTAATTAATTACAAATTTTTTTAATAAAAAAACAATAATTTGGGTTTTAACCTAGTAATTTGAAGTATGTATTGTTTTCATAGGGGAGATTATTAAAACTTAACCATTAATTAAAAAGACATTAAAACTAAATTTAAAAATTCTAAATTTTTAATTTAAGAAATCATTAACTAACAGAAAGCTTTTATAAAATATTGTTCTGAGCAATTTGGATAAAGAAATTGGATTCACAAGATTTGATTTCTATTTTGTAATGTACCTTTGAAATAACTTATTACTGTCATAAGTGATGCTATACTATCAAGAGAAATATCTGATTCAGAAATAGCTGTCCTGTTTGTTGCAAGTATACTCCACGTTTGTTTGAAATATCTGATGCTCTCTGTTTTTTTTTTATTTATTTATTTATTTTTTTTTTTTAAGATTTAAATATTAAAATTCTTTCATAAATTACATAAGTTTCCTTTCTGAAAGAATGTCTCTAAAAATAGAATTAACTGAAAGAGAAGATGGTATGCACCCTGTCATGATCTGTTTTTAGGGCATATAAGTAAGCAGCTAATGTGAATACCTTTACATTCCTATGTTTTAATNGGATAGACCCCTGGTCTCTGAAAATAGAATTAACTGAAAGAGAAGATGGTATGCACCCTGTCATGATCTGTTTTTAGGGCATATAAGTAAGCAGCTAATGTGAATACCTTTAATACATTCCTATGTTTTAATTTATTTTATTTCTTTTTCTTCCTAGTTGTAACTGCACTAAACAATGCTTCCAAGGAATTGTTAATTGACGTTCATTTTCTCTTATTTTTGGATAGTGCAGATGTAAGTATTTATGTTTGTGTATGAACTAAATAATAAATACATTTGTGTAAAAGTTTGAAGGTATCATTAATTACGTCCATTATTGTTTAGATGTTAAGTTTATAAATAGTTTTATTCAAATAATTTATGCCATTTTTGAAAAATGAGACATCCAATAAACATTTTATTTGCTCAAGTCTAGATAATTTTACATTTTCATCTTAAAATATTAACAATGGTAAGTATTAATTTGCCAGGAAATAATCCACGATAATTCAGGCCATGCCCTTTACAAAATTAAATTTTCTAATGCAGTTTTCACCAAGTTTTAAACTTTGTAAATGATTTTTTCTCAAAGCCATTTTTTTTAATGTATAACTAATATTGCATTTTTTTTAAAATTTTTATGACCCAAAAATTTATATGCATAAAAATAAATCTTTTTGTGCAGATTATTTGCAAAAATTAATTTAAAAGGTTTAGGAAAACTACAGCAAAAAAAAAAAAAAGTGTAATTTAACCTTTCTTCTTCAATTGTTTAACAGCCCCTAAGCAGAGCCTTGTCTTTCTCAAGTAACTTTTCAGTAACAAAACTTTTGTTAAAAATTGGAGAACTTTTGTTACAAAAATTCTCAAATTTTTGGTCTTTGAAGTATTCAGGTCATTTTTAAGACAGTCTATCTATGCCTAGGTCTGCCACTAGGTTGAGTTCCTTTAGGCATACGTAAAAAAAATTCTTTTATTTTAAAGTTTGAAAAAATTTGACTGGAAAACAATGAGAAATACTAACTGTAATATCAGGACAAAAATCTGGATAGAAAAGTTACTTGTTATGTTAAATTTGGTAATGTTGTAAAATCATGGAAATTGAAAAAAAGAAACTGTTGAAATTTTATTTAAGTTTATTTTTTTATATACAAAATGTTAAATATGCTTAATGTATAAAATCAAATATCTTGAACACATATCTTTGTCATTTTCAATTTTATTAATAAAAGTAAGTTTGTTTTGATTTCTTTATGAAAGTGCTCTCCGTAATCTGTAATGTAATTACTCTTACTGTTTTCGTATTTCAATCTAAAAAATGTCATACAGTATTTTCACTGCATAAAAATAATCTCTGAGAATAGTTTCTATTTATAAAAAGTTATCCTATTAATTCTATGTTATTCTTGATATTCGTGTTATTCTATGGTATTCTTGTTGTTATTATCCTATTAATTCTTGGTTGCTTATCATGTAGTATTTGTAATTTGTAGAACAACATTTAGCAGGATTCTAATTTCCTTAAGAAAAATTTTTTTTGTTTCTAGGATGAGGAAATAAAAAATAACATTTTGGACTTCAATGGCTTTACATTTGATACAGATACTGAAGAATATGATGAAAGAAATGAATTTTTGCAAAGGTAATTTATTTATTTCTAAATAATAAATTTTTAATACATATATGTTATAATCTGACTTCTAAGGTAATTACTTTTTTTTTTTTTAAAGGATGTCATTTAAAATTGTGAGTGATGTGGCTCGATCGTTTTCTTTAGAAATATTGAATTCTAAAGAGGAAACTATCAAAAATATATTAGGATTTCTGCAAAAGCCGGCTGAAAGTTATCTTAGAATTTCAAGTAAGAATACTATAATTTATTTGATTAATGCTTTATAAAATGCTTTACATCAGGAATTTGTATGCAGAAAATTTGAAGTTAATCTGAAACAACATTTTGCAATCACGCTTTAGACCCTTTGTTATACTGCTTTACAAAAAATTAATCGAGACAGATTCATTTAAATAATGTGTGTATGTATATATATATATAGTGTTAGTTATTAAATAAATTTTTTTTTTGTAATTTCATTTTACATTAATTATATCTAATATTAATATGTCATAAAATTCCTATGAAAGTTTTTAAGTACTTTCAGATAGAAAAAAAAATTTTCTATTAACTTTTAATTTACATTTAATATTTGTTTAATGTGGATTTTTTTAAAAATCTAAAAAATGCCTCATTTTTAAAAAAGGTAATGTTAAAGTAAAAATTTAATTTTTGTTATTAAAATATCTGGTATTTATTTGCTAAGTTAGTTATTTATCAATAAGAAATAATTTAGTCAGAGGAATTTTTTTTTATCAATTAAGTTGAAGAAACTTAAGTCTCATGTCAACCTTATCCATCTTTTGTGAAAGAAACTGTAGCTTCTTAGTATTTTTCCCCTTGTTTTAAGAATTTGTTCAGTTTTAAAAAAATTTAATTTCTGTCTTTTGTGCATTAATTTCTGAGTATGCCAATAACAGTTGATTATAAGGTTACTCTATTTTTGTTAAGAATTTAAACACAAGAGTAAGAAGTCAGTTTAGCAAATTTTATTAACCTTTTTGTCGTTTTATGTACAAAATTAAGATAATTAACAAATTGGTGTATTTTTATTAACGAAAACATTAATTGATTGCTTTAACACTTTAAATATTAATTATCAGAGTCTATAACAATGCAAAATTTCTAATTCAATCCAAATAGATTTTTTTTTTTTAAATTTACTAAAATATAGCGCGTCAGCTCAGCTTCATAACATATTGGTTATGTTATAAAACTTTTTGATCTTGTTTTTTTTTGTTTTTTTTTCCCCCTTCATGATTTATATGTTTATACATTTTTTATTTAAATGTCTGATTTGTTTTTGTTTTTTTAAGGCAATGTACCTTTAAGCTTGTCTGATGTAGAATTGGATGATATTGATGGCTTTTCAGATTCTGATGAATCCATTACTTGTGAAGTAGTTGAGAAAAAGGTTGAATGCATTGACTTGGTATGAAGTTTCATTTTGTTATTTCTGCCTTTCAGTGTAATGATTTCAATATGAGATTTTTAAGTATCATAAATGATAACACTAGCAATACTTTTATCACATGTCATATCAAACATTATCTAAAATCAGACAATTTCTGTTTTAGGGAAGCCAAATTATAGAATTTTTGCACTATTTATAATTTACAGCATGTATTTCCCAATTAGATTTGTACTTTAAAGCTACTGTAACTAATTTAGAAAGGATATATAGTAACAAAATCACAATACAAGTCAATAAAGGAACAACTTACAGCTATAAAATTCAATGTTACGACATATCTTGACCCTCAGGTAGCATATGGTTTATGCCTTCTTGCAACTTTGAGTCAAATTTCGAATTTTATATCAGAATTTTATTGTAATTTTTTTATTTGTAAATTTTTCTATAGGATTCTAAATTTTTCTATAGGATTAACATTAGAGCCATTTTTTTTTTTACTCAAAAGTTTTTAGGGAGCATGGATTAGTTCAAGTGTTGTCAATATAAGTTTTAAATCCTTTTTTAGGGTCTTTATTAATACAAATCTTTGCTATTCCATCCCTTTTTCATTGTTTATTTTCCTCTAAAACTTAGTTTCTAAATTTATTTTTTTTTTGTAAACATTTCTAATTTAGTTTAGGTTAATTAGCTACTATTTTTTGTGGCACTTTCAAAAAACTATTGAACATGACCTTTAAATATACCCTTACAAAAACCTCATCCACCAACATGTGGGGTTTAATTACATCTAAACTAGCATTTCTGCCAATTTTTAAATTTATTCAAATTATTTTTTTCTTATCAGACTTTTTTCATGTGAGTTTTATGGCTATAAATAGAATTTCGAAAGATAAAATTTTATTTTATAATTTAAATTTTCATAATAGAATTTGCTTTTTTTAAACAAGTAACCTTAGATGAGTTTGACTGTTTCTACTTTTTGTTTTTCTATTTTTATGTTCAAGTAATAATCATAAGTAGTAATAATAAAAGTAGTTTTTTTTTATGAAGAAATGTGTATTTAGGAATAACTAAAGTTTAAATAAATAAATGAAAAATTTTCCAAAAAATTAACTTCATTAAAAGTGTTAAATACTGCAAATAGACATTTTTTGTATTATTTTGATTTAATTGAAATCAAATGGATATTTTATTCAATTTTTTTTCTCTTTTTAGATATCATCTGGAGAAGACAGTGGTATGTCTGTTTATTGTTATTTTCATGTTCCTAAATTGTATATTTCTTTTAATTTTTTCATTAAAGTTATTTTGTTAGGGGAAAATGAGCTAATTTTCTCTATTCACACCACAATTAGGGAATGTTTTTCCATAACTTGTCTCAAAAGATTTTTGTTGTCACTGAGTTATAGGTATAGGAAAGGGAAGTGCATATTTAAAATCTTTTATTCATATGTTTATCCATATTCTAAATTTTTTTTAGGAAAGATGAAGTGATGTATTAATAAGTTATTCGTGGAGGGGGAGAAAAACTGATATTTGCTTTCAGGGGGAGAAAAACTGATATTTGCTTTCATTCATTGAATAATTTTTTTTTCAAATTTTTTCTTTACTTTTCAAATTGTTTTTAATTTTTCCAGATTTTGGTTCTAACAATGTTAATACTTATGTGATAAAAGGGATTAGCTGCACATTTTTTTCTTTATTTTAAGGTTTTCGACATTTTTTATTTTTTTTATCAATTTGATTTAAATGACCAATTACAAATTTTATCATAACATTAAACTTGCAAGGTAGAAGAATCATCTACTAATTAACATTTTTTAAGTAACAATGCAAGCTTTAAAATGTCCAAGCGAGGAAATACTCTCAAATTTTCATTTGTTATATTTTGTTATATAGGTTTATTTGAATTTACCTTTTAGTTTTATGTTTGATTTAAAAACCTTTATTAAAAATTCATTTTTTACTAGAAAAACAATTACTTTAATTTTTATATTTATTATTTATTAAAATGTCATTTAGCAAACTTGTGAATTTGCTAAATGATGAGGGAGCAATAGATAAAAAAATTTTTGATTTTTTTTTTAAGCTGCTAATGATCAATTTTACTCATATTGCATAATAATTGAAATAATAATAGTAATTCACAATGGTTAATAATTGTAATGATTTATTACATTGTGTGCATATTTTTTCCCCATTTTTTATGTAATTCTATCTTCATGGTACAAAACTAACATATTATTATTATTATCAGATGATGAGAAGCCTAACAAAGTAAGATCACCTAAGAAAGCTGTAGTTCCAAATCCGAAACAACCTAGTACTCAACCTACTCCAACTTCATCTTTGTCTACACCAGCACCATCTAAACCATCCCCATCAATTCCATCCCCATCAATTCCTTCCCCATCAGTTGCATCAGTAGTTACAAACATTCCTTCAGCTGCTCCCACTCAGTCTATGGATACTGATTCTTCATCCGATTCGCAGTCTGGAAATCGAACTTTAAGAAACTTCGAAACAAGTAATTAAATTTCTATCTATTCATTGTATGTTCATATAATCAAAAATAACTTTTATTTATTAAAATAAAATGAACAGTTCTTATGTTATTTCTGTGAATATTTTTGTTTATGTCAAACTGCCTGTTTAAATTTTTTTTTCTCTAATGTGATGGAAACCAAATGTTACCATAAAAACTTTTAATGAAATATTTAAATTTGGAAGGTTATAGACACCTAGAAAATTGAATTGAATTAGAATTGAGTGAGTCCAGTTTAGAAGCATTTTTAAGATATAATGAGGATCTCATGGGATATAAAATTACGTGTTTAAGAGCATGAATGTTCAATATCAGGCTGTCACTGTAATTTACTCAACCTGTTATTACTTACTCTATTTTTTAATACACAATTTATTTAGGTGGTTCTAAAATATGTTTATTTTATTATTTACCTACAATGGTTTCCATTTGTTTTTTATTGTAAAAATGTAATTTTAAAAGTTAAAGTTGTGATAGGCGATATAATCCAAAATATTTTTTGAAAAAATTTTTAGTTTTAGTAAATTATTAATCCAACTTTATTTTTTAATCATTGATAATTTTATAATTTTTTTTAAAAGAGAGCTAATGGGAGAATAAATATTCTTTTGTCCAGAAAAAAAAAAAGTATTGCCTGCAAAGAAAGAGAATGAGCTTTCAGAAACAATGCTTTGGAATGAAATAAAATTATACCATTCTAGTGTTAAATTTTTATTAACACTAAATTAAGTATTATGATAAAAATTTAAAAAATTTAATTTAGTCTATTATTTTATAGAGTAGCAAAAAAATATTAATGATATAAGAAAATAATTTATTCACTCATAGACTTTTATAAATAAAAAAATTTTGATATATTTTTTGTTATCTGTGAATATTTATTATTATTATTTTGTCTCAGTTTTTCATGTACAATTAATTGTAATTTTAAAAAATTGTATTTTCTTTTTATAGTTTGCAAAATAGTAAACACTCATCCTCATGAATATCTTGTTGATATTTTTGATCTCCTCTACTTAAAGAAACATGAAGTAAGTTTATATTTTTATATTAATTTCATTTTCTGTTATTCTTTATTTGACTCTAAGGCAGGACATAAAATTTCCGCTCTAAAGTAGAATCTTCTAGAAATTTTGCTCGCCAAGATGTTGACAGACAAGAATGAATAAAACCAAAAAAAATTTTGAAAATGAATTAGCAATCAACATTTCTGAAGAAAATGTTGGTTGCTAAAAAAGCACTGATATTTAAGTAAAAGTTTCAATGTTATCCATATGTTGTTAAATTTAAAAAAAATATTGTGAAAGGAAGACATCAGAAACGTTTCCAGATGTTTAAAACTTCATATTTGTATATTGCTGCTTCTTGACACTAAAACAGGATTTCAAACACAACATTTGATGGATCAAATCTTAATCACCGACTGTTGTGTGTGGCCAGATATATTTTAAATACTTAAAAAATATCTTATGTTTAAAAGAAGCTATAGTCAGCTCTTATTTCCTTTATAAACTTCTTTATAAAGACGTGCAATAAGTTTCCTTAAAATTATATTTAATAAAAATATTTGTTCCATAGAAAAATTTATAATATTGTAGAAACTGTATGAACTGTAGAAAACTGGCCAAAAACATTCCCTTTTCTCCGAGTTTCTGTACTCCGTACATGTCTAGCAAATGTGTTGAATTTGTAAAAAATAATCATATCATTGCAGACTTTAGTAGAGCTTAGAATTCTGCCTTTTTTAATAAATATTATTATAGATATTAAAGTTCATATATATTTGTTCACACATCCATTTTTAAAAGATGTATTTTATTTGTTTCATATATATTTTGTAATTTATTTGTATTATTTTGCCTTACTAAACTTTATATTTCAAATAGCATAAGTGTTATTAAGTAGTAACATTAATTGAACTTTCTGTTTCTAGCCTAGCACTCTACGTAAAGATATTCTTGACTTTAGTGGATTTACATTTGAAAAAGGTTCGGCAGAATATGTAAAACGGAAACAATTATTGGATCGGTATGATAAATATAATTTTTTGCTATTAAAACATATGGTTTTCTAAAAAGTGCTTAGCTCACAAACATTTTACAATTATAATTAATTCTACCTCAGCTCAATTTCTGATCATTTAGACTTCTTTAACATTTTTAAAAAAAAGTAGATGTGATTGTTAAAAATAATTGGTTTAAATACAGTGATATTTTTGATTTATGCTGTTAATTTATTATTTTCCTAACATGTTAAAAACATTTTTTTTCTTCAGAAAAATTAAATTAATGAAACTTCAATGTATTAAAGAAAGCTCGTAAAAAAAGTAACTCAATATCTTTAGATGTTCTTTTTACTTAAAGAATACTTTTTTGTCTTAACTGTCATGAGAAATACTTTTATCAGGGTATCTGGAAAACAATGAAAGATTAAATAGTCTAAAAATAGTAATTTGTATTCAGTTTTGATCAAATTTTTTGTGATTTTCTTTCTTTTTTTTTTTCTTTTTTTGCACTCTTTATTTTTAATGAAATTTTTTTATTAAATTCCTTTCTGTTTCTAAGCCAGGGAAAAGTTGGACAAATTTAATTTTCCTCCATGGTTACAAAGCTATAGTTTTGTCAAAAGAAAATCTTTCCTTTGCATAAACCTGATCATTGGTTAAGCTAATTTATTTTTACTCTCTTACGATACAAATTGTAAAGAGCCAATAAGAGAACATTTTTATTTCGTTTGATACTTTGAAGTAATTAATCATTAAAAATAAATTTTAAGTATTGTTGAAAAATGTCATGTGCATAAAAGATTTTTGTTAATTCTGTTTACATGTATTTTCTTAATAGTATAAGTAAACTTAAAAAAATATTTCAGTATGCTATACAATTCTGTTCGACGAATATACAACACTTTGATCCACAATACTACTGAAGTAAAGGTATTTTCAAAGCCAACCATGATTGCTGAAATATTTCAGTTCCTCTTCAAGCTACCTGATCATGATACAAGTTAGTAGTAATTTACATTAAGTACTTGTTATTGCTTAACAAGCTGAGTTTAGACTTGCTTAGCTGTTATTTTGCATATCTCTTTTCATTGGAAATTGATGTACAATTTTTTGCCAGAACTTGTCTTCGGGCTTAATACTAAGAAGGTTGTGTTCATCTGTTATAAATGTAGACACCTAGTCCTTAGGGGTCTAAATTTCTCTAAAGCACTTCATTTAAATAAAATAAAAGTATTTTGTATTGTATATTATGTAATTCTTTTCTTTAAGAATTGTTCTTGTAATGCTTATTAAAAAAATCATCCTTGTTATTTTTAAATCTGCTATCCAGGAAAAAGCTAACCTGATAGTGTTACCAAAGCTATATATTTATTTTATATACAGGGTTCCCGCGACCTTGAAAAGTATCGAAAACTCAGGAAAACAATCCTTTTTCCAGCATTTCTGTGTTTAACTTTTTGACGCACGTAAGTGTGAGAGAAAGACTTTCCCGCCTTTCAGATGATGACACGTACTGTTTGATTTTAAGATTTTATGTATGTTTGGCTGATTTTAGGAATTTTAAATATTGGGAACTGCGCCAGATTCTGACAAAATCTCGATTCTTATTCAGGCAATTTTAATATCAATCATCTATCTTCGTATTAAACTGATTTAAAAGCTATGTGTTACGATTCGTTTTCGCGTGATTCAAAAATTGTACTTGCAATTCCCGTTAAAGCAAGTTAAAAATCTAATATCGCGATTTGTACCTAAGCGTTTTTAAACCCCAATATCGCGATTAGTTTTTCCGCAAGTTTAAAATCCAAAGGTATTCGTATTCACGCATTTTGCAATATCAAACATCGATTTTCGTATTTATACTCTATTTGAAAACTACTCGTTACGATTCGTGTTCATGTGACCATGTCAAGTGCGTATGATCGATGCTACTGAAAAAAAATTTATTCAAGTATGAGTGGTTAATTAAAACAGTCAAAGTGACCAAAATTGTTTGTAAGAATCTATCAGAAGATATTGAGGTGAAAGTTGGCAACTGATTCAATTTAAAATGGTTGACCCGTAATAAATTTAAAATGATAATTAAGCCGCAACATCCAATAATTAATTAATTTTCTTTAATAGAAAAGTGGTCAAAATTATATTTAAGAACAATTTAAATTTCACTGTCTAAATGCTTCTGCCACTTTAAATATTAAATAAAAATCTCCCAGCAGAGTTGTTTTTAAATATCTAATTGGTATCACAGTATTATATAGAACCCCCCCCCCCGTCCTGCCCGAATTTTTGCTTATTCAGAGGTTGTATACCTAGCCTAAAATAGGCCTTGTGCAAAATTCAAATCTGACGTTTTTATGAATCATGAATTTTATTCTTGACTTGATGCCAATCACCCTTGCCTTTTTTTATACTTAGATCACTTTCCGAAATCAAGAGAGCAATGGAAGTTTTATTTTTCAGTACTGCTATTATCGTCTAACATTTATCGTCAACTAACATTTAAGTTTGAACAACATTTGAACAAAACATTTTAGTTTGAAATGTAAAATTTTAGTCTATCTTTTACTAAAATTTAAGTCCTTGAGAATTTTATAATAAGTCTTGAAAAGTACTTGAATTTTATTTCTAAAGTAAAGCATGAACCCTGTATATATATCATTCTTTAATCTAACATTCTGTAAAAGAAAGTTATTTCTTAATTTATCTCAACATCTAGGTGTCCGGCCAGCCCCATCAACCAAGCCTGCTGCGAAACCTGTTGTACCAGCTGTAGGAAAAAGTGCACCAGTTGTAAGTTTTTGTTAATATTGCGGTAAAATTAATTTAATTTTGATTTTATTATTTATAATTATGGTTTCTAATGTTCTGAATTTTACTCATTTCAGGGCATTGCTCCACCACCTGGTAAATATATGTTTATTTAACTCTTAATGTCTAATCTTATGTATATTTATTTGTTTATATATATATCTACCACTCTAAGCTCTAATAAAATATAATAATAAAATCTTAGCTATTTTTATTCAAGCTTTGTTCATGTTCAAAGATAAAAAGCAAATGTGTCGATTAGATTGCAAATGAAAAATAAATTAATTTATATGAGGAAACAAAAAAAAATTAATAATTCGAAATGCATATTATGTATACGAACTACATGTTTAATAAGTTTTTAAAGTATCCTTATTCAAATAATAATGAAACTAAATTGGTGTAATTGAAATATGTCTATTTAATAGCAGGTCATTTTAATACAAACCTTTATAAAATTAAATTAGTTGCTAGAAGAAAATGCAAAATTGATTCTACAAACCAATTGGTTATCAGTTAAGCAAATGTTGAATCTGAAAAATAGGAAATATTTGTGGTTCTTTGATGGGAAATTGAAGTTTCTTAATATCTGAGAGTTGCAAATAGATAAAGATATGTTGTGTAATAAGTTAAATAGCTATTTTCTTTCAGGTATTCCTGCAATAAATCAAAATGGAAAACTGAGTGACCTTAAACGAGGTTGGTTCTTTTTTGTTTAAGCTTTATTAATTTTAATGCAATGTCTTTAGTTTATATTTTTGCAGTATTATATTTATTATGACAGTATTTGCAGTATTATATTTATATTTTGCAGTATTATATTTATTATGACAATAAAATTGGTACTTTAATTTATTTAAAAATCTCATCGTTAAGAATTAAGTTGTGAGTAAAATAAATAGTTTTTTTTTATTTGATTCAATTATAATTCTAATGAGTGTTTTTAGAGCGTTTGCATCAATGTCCAGTATTGTCTTTTTAAACTCAAAAATTAGCATTGTTGCTTAAAAATTTATTCTTCTCATTCATATTTTCACACCAGAATATTATTAAACATTTTTCTAAAAATTGTTTAAGTATAATAAAAAAGGTGTATAAAAATAAATCTATGAAATAGTTCTTGCATTATGAGAATTCCGAACAGTTGCAGATTTTCTTTTAATTTTAATTATTTGTCATAAAATGTTTTCTTATAGTTTGGAAGCACTTTTAAATCTGAGAAGAGCTGAAGATTATAATACATCCAAAATGCCAAGTTTAAGACTCAAGAGCTCTTCAATACACGGGAATTTTTGATAATAAAATTTCTGTAATTTATAAAATTTGAATAAAATTGTATGTTGTTCTCTTAAATCTTAACTTTTATGGAAATGTTATATACCCTTTCATCTGTAATCATTTGCACTCAATTGAGGAATTGTTAAAATTTATCGCATTAGATTAAAAATCTTTTGCATACTTCATTGTATGTTATGACCTCTTAAACATTGAACTTTGTTAGAAAAAATTAAATGCATTTTAATTTAGTTTGGTGTGGTTTTTGTAGTGTTCCAAAGAGTTGCTTGTTTTCCTTGTGAATATCTGATCGATGTCCATAAACTACTGTTCATGACTGACTGTGATGTAAGTATTATGAGATATTTTTGATGCAAATTTTATCTATAATAAAAATGGATATTTAAATAATAAACAATTTAAGTATGTATCAAATCACTATTGAATACATAGAAAATATTACTCTTTAGTATACTGTAATTTTATTTGTTGTCAAGTCTTCATATGGAAGAAAAAAATATGTGTATGTATACCTAGGAATTTTTGTTTGTGTATTCAAAGTAAATGCATTTTAAGCATAAATATTTTGTAAAATTATTATGCATTCTTGTTTTTAGATCACAAAAATATCTGTGTGAAAAAAAAACTTGTCAACATTTTAAAAGCATTTTATTATACTTCACTTTATAAATTTTTCTTGATATAAGATGTATGACCTATAGTTTCCTACTAGTTTTGAAAAGATTTTTGTAATTATTGAGACATTTTTTAGTAAAATAGACAAATACAGGTCAAGTTAAAAATTAGGACTGGCAATATCCTTTGATTAGATTGATCAAACTGAAAATATACCAGGATGACCATAAAACAGGCATTTTATCGATCTGGGAAAATTATAAAATTTTATCAATATGAAAAAATCAAGGAAATTTAGTCAAGTCAGGAAATTTTATTTAGCTACCTACAAAGTCTGGGAAAATGAATTAATTTGAGTTTGTGGAGTAGCAAGTATAAGTGTTTTGCAATATATTTTATGAATAAAAATAAGGCAGATTTAAAAAAATAATAATCCTTTGAGTGTTAGAGTCTGTTCTTTCTCTTTCATTTGTCCTAAGTTTTTGAGTTGTAAGAAAAATATTGCTTTCCCACATGTAAAGGATAATTCACAACTAAATAGAGAAAGTGGGTACCGGACCAGTTTTCTAAGCTGGAAGCAACTATACTTATTTTCATCTTTAACTTATTAGTAGAAAACCTTTGTTTCTATTGAAAAAAATTTGGAGCTGTAAATAATTTTTGAAACCTTAACAGTTATTTTTTAAAGAATAATAAAATATTGAAGTCTTGATGATAAATAGTAAATATAAATCTGTTGAGTGTTTGGTGGAGTTGATTGCCTGTGATGTACATACCTGTCGAGTTTTCTGTTTTTTTAAACAAAGTTTCCCATATTTTACGATTATCTCCCATTTACCCGTATATTCTTGAATCTCTGTTGTATTTTTTTTTAAGAAATTTAAAAAAAAAAAAAAAAAATTTACAAATATTTTACTCCAATGGAAGAATATTTTAATCATTTTCTCAAGTGTAATATTGGAATTGTGTGTTAAGTAAGCAATCCTGTTACAGTTAGTTTGGCAAGGAGGCTAGGTTCATGAAGATTAAGGCTCCACAGTTTCAAAACAAACAGCATGATAATGCATTATAGTTGTCCCTGCATACAGTACATTCCTGATAAACAAAGGTCTAAAATAGAGTGAACTTAAGGCTGCCGCTTAAGGATAAATGAAAAACTAAATTCTAATATCTTGTATACAGTGATGAAATTTAAGTGAAATGTGCAATGAATTGTTTCTTAAATTTTTTTTATATTTCTGCATGTAGGTACTTAAAAACATGCAAATTATTAAAAAAAAAATCAAAGGTTTACTTTCTTAAACTTAACAAACTTTAAAATTGTTTATGTAATCAGTTTTGTATTGTGATAAGAAATCTGTAGCAATGTTTTATAATGTATTTACTCTATTCTTAAATAGTCACTTTACTGATCAAGTTTGTGGATTTTTCTTCTCCATCCTGATCAAGGATACTTTTTTAATGCTGGAATATTTTACATTTAAGATCGAAAACACTTATGTTTAAAAAAGGAAAAGTTTTTCTTTCCGATTTTGTTTCACATCCCTAAAAAAAAAACACCTATATATTCACTTTGATTTTTGATAAAAACCTAGACTGCAACAAAAAATTAAAAAGTTATTTAAGTTTTCTCTGTTGTGTTTATTTAGTCTGATGGCCATCGACGAAGCGAAAGACTAGAAATTTTTGAATTTTCAGGTACTAATTGATATAATTTGCTTTCATGAAGTCTTAGTTACATTTCCATTATAGTGTATTTCTCATTGCTTATTATTTTTTAAATTATTTTAAAAAAATTGAGCATACTTGCCTTTGAATGATTTAATGTAAATATTGAAACCTAGAGAATCAATTCAATTCTACAACTATGTACTTTATTTTGTTTTAGCCAAAAGTTATTCGACAAAATATATTTGCTTTTAAAGGATTTAAATTTGGCCCGGAGTCACAGGAATTTCAGCAAAGAAAAATGTACTTAGAATAGTAAGTATTTTAACAATTTAACAAAGTCGGAATTTTCTACAAACCTTTTTTTTTAATACGTAATTTTAATGAAATAATATTTTTAACCTCTTATGTTATTTCATTTTGCCTTTTTTTTAGCTTAACATTCCATAGTCTAAGAAAAATATCTAGTGTTCTTACAACTAGATCAGTAGATCTTAGAAATTCTACTAAGCATGAGCTTGCAACTCATTTAACTCAAGTGCTGGCAGAATATTGCAATACTTTTACAGGTATCCCATATTTATTTATTATTAATTGTTCAGTTTTTCAATTAAATAAGATTAGTTAGTAAAAAAACAATAAATGTATAATTGATGAAATTTGGTGGTTTAAACACAATGTTATGAATAATACTATTTTTAAATTATTAAAAAAAAAATATTTATGTGTATGAGATGATTATGTTGTTCGTCTAATGTGAGTTTTACTTTTGTTAATATTAATGTTATTCTTAATTTAATGCTAATGAAATAGCAATACTAGGTTGAAACCTGTTCTGTTACATACCGAGATAAAGTGTGCGAACAGTTCTTTATTCATATGCTTTATTTTAAACTGAATAAATATTACATTTCAAAACCTTAATATGCAATAAACTTCTAAATTGACGAACTTTTTACTTGGGTAATTCATAACTTTAAAGGAATTACTTTTTTATAATTATTATTCTCTAAAAAAATGGGTATGTTTTAACACTTTAAAAAAAATTGTATCCTTTAAAATCTTTTTATTTTTTAACTGGCTATGATAACACCTTTTGTACTTGCATATATACTTCATTATTCATAAATAAAATAAGCTTAAATTTTGCTTGTAACTCTTATTTTATTTTCAACTGACTCTGGTACTTCATCCCTGCTTACTATTGCTCCACCTTTATAATTGACTACCCCCTGAACTGCTTATGCATTTCTTAGATATGGTCTCTTATTTCACAATAATCTTATTTTTATACTAGCTTATATTCTTTATAAATTTTTTAATGCTTATTTTAAATTCATCTAGTTACATAAAAAAATTATGACATGATAGGAGATTATTTTAATCACAGCTGCAGAATTTAGATTTAATTCAATTGTTTTTGCACTAACCTTTAGAAAAAATAATACTGTGCATTAAATATTATTTAAAAAATTAAAAACACTGAAGGTTTATTTAATTTAGATCTCTTCTGGGATTGTATGGTTATTTGTAAGAAAACTTGTAATTTTTTTTCTTACTCTCATTACATGCATGTATCTCTATATTTAAAAATGAATTCCAGAACGGCATTTGATATAGTTGTTCTTGTCTTAATCTCATTACAATTCAAATAGAGGGAGATTCAAAATATTTTTCCTTCTTGTATTTCAGACGCAGAAGTACCTGAAATAAATGCAACTAATCAAACAACTCCATCTTCCACAGTGGTATGTGTGTAAAAATAAAAAATTATTTTTTGATTTAGTCTGAATATATTATTTTTAAATTAGGAATCTTAATTATATATTTATTACAAAGGTGAATTAGATTTAAAACTCTCATTTTAACATTTCTGTGAGTTTCAACATATATGCTTTATATAATTATTTCTATCTGTTGTTTAATTTCAGTCATTTGATTGATATAAAAATTATATTTTTCAATCCAGAATTTATTAGGAGAAAGAATAAGTAATAAATTTTAAAAACCAAAAAATTAAAAAGTTGTTAATAAATTTCTTTTTTTAATGCTCTTTTTGAGTGTACTTAAAATAATATTTTTTTTAAATAAAAATATGGATTTTAAAACAAACTTTTTGGTAGTATTTTTAAATAACAAATGTGTGTTAATATTTTAAATAATAAATTATTCATTATTTATAAATATAATTTTGTAAAATCCTAAATTAATTCCATTAGTGAGTTGTTCAGCAATTTGTATTAAAGAATTAACATTAACAATGTAAGTATTAAATAAATTAAATTTTGAAAAATTTAGCATTAAATATTTAATAGCTTAATTGCTATTTACATTTTTATTGATATTTTTATCAATACTCTAAATTAAAATTTATATTTATTTAAATAAATTTTGTTTATTGCTTAGAATTTATTGTAAGTCTTTTTTTCTTCAGACTTCTAGTTCTTCAAAAGCAGTGGAATCTATTGTTGTCACTCCTACTCTTGATCCATCTTTAGCAAGTAAGTGCAGTTTATAGTTGATATTTTAAGTGATTCCGTTCACCCGCTATAAGGTATCAAATATGTCAAAAACCGTGGAAGATACTCGAAATTTAGTTATACTTCAGTGCGGGTGTGTGGGGGGGGGATTTTATGCCAGTAGACAAAATTAAAAACAACTTTTTAATATATATGTATCTAAATTCTTTTCCTTTGTTATTTATAGCTGAAAAGAAAAAGTGTAACATTATGTTCTTGCTTTTCCTTGATACTAGGGATCTAAAGCAAAAAATATATAAATACAATCAAACTAAAATCTAATGATTCAAAAAATCTGAAACATGAAACAGAATTGAGATTTTTTTTTTTATGAAAATGTCTATAACTTAGAGGTTAAAACAATTGAGATCTGCTGATTTTCTCTTCAATGCTATTAATATTTAGCTTCACTAATATTCATTGTTATTTCTGCATCAGTTTGTTTTTCTTTAACTGCACTTGTTTTTTCAAAGACTTTGTTAGTGTGCTTAATGAGGTAAAATAAATGTTTAGCTTATCAAAGAAACAACAAGAAATTTTTTTTTCCTTTTTGATTACTAAAAAGTTTTTGGAAAATAATTGGATGTGGGACTTTGCATTGTATATTGATTCATTATCTAAAATAATGCTTAATAATACTCAACAACATTATCGTTATGAATTTTAAGTGATAATCTAATTTAATTAATTGAACATCAATTTTTGAAATTTCATTTTGTTCTAAAAATTAGATCCACCAGCTGAAACTCCAACTTCATCCACAGTTCAAAGCAAATCAACTCCCTCAGGACAGAAATCAGCTCCATCTAAATCTAAAAATGTAACTCCATCAAAAACTCAGCCAGCTGCCTCTCCTTTACCAATAGTGAGTCGAAAAATTACTTTTTTTTTTTTTTTNTTTTCCGAAAAATTTCTTTTTTTTTTTTTTTGCTGATAGAGTATCTACTTCTATATTTTGCCCTTTTATTTCTCTTGGATTTTTTTTTTCTATTAATATGTCTTTTGAAAATAAAAATTCAAATTAATGGATTAATGAAATAAACGTTTTATTGGTCTTTAAAATTATAATAAAAATACATTCTGAAGCTTCATCTCTAATAAGAATAAAATTATAGAATGAAGAATAGTTTCATTGTAATAGTTAACCATTTTTACTTTCTAATTTTAGCTAACCAAACATAGCAGAATACTAATTGTGTATAATTTCACGAAATGATTATGTATGAATTCAAGTATACTGATAATGTATAACAGAAAATTTAAAGCTGATGATTATGGTTTTAAAAAATTATTTCACTTAAAATCAGTTATTAAATTGTGTTATTTTTACCCTCTAATCATTGTTTATTCATGTATCACTTCTCTTAAGTCCATTGTAGACGCCCGTTCTGTACCTCAAACTAAACGGAAAAGAAAAAGCAATACTGTATCAAAAATAATAACTGAGAAATCACAGCCTGATCTCAATCAATTTGCTGACATCAACTTGCCTGAAGTTGAAAAGTATCGTCAACTGTATGGACAGAGTATATGTAAGTTTTGAACTTTCTTTTTTAATTAGCATATCTTTTGAAAGAATCAAATAGTTTTCAACTGTACTTTTCAATTTTCAGATAATCCCAATCTTCCCACAATAACTGGAATTACTACATTCAGTGCAACTGGTATTCCTCAAACATTTCCAATGGCTCAGCCTATGTCATTCCCCATTATGCAGGTCCAGCCTAGTCAAGTAATAGGAGTACCGGTTATTAGTCAAGGTAGAATAATTTTAGTTATTATTTGTTATAAAAGTTTACAAAATAATTATTTCGAAACATTACATTTCAAAACAAACATTATTTCGAAACATTACATTACATTTCAAAACAAAATTTTGATGAATTAGGATGTCAACTACTGCAAATTTTCTGTATTTTCTAGAAATTAAGTTTGTCAGTTTATGCTTTAAAACAGTTTGATCAGGAAGAATAAAGAAAAACGTATCATCAGAGAATTTTATTTCAACTCTAAAAAGCAGGGAATAGTCAGGGAAAGTTGCATTTTTTTTTTTTTTTTTTTTACAAAAACCTGGAAAATTCCTACATCATACCTGGAAAATAACCAGTCTTTGAATAATCAGTAACAGTAATCAGTTATTGAGATTTGATTTAAATAATTCTAACATCTGTTACAATTTACCATGTTTCCATTCTTATCCAATTATATTTTTTTACCGTGATATTTGACAAAACGAAAAATTTTCTGATGAAAAATTGTATGGTATAAATAAAGTATTGTCTGGTTTTGCGTTGAAATTTTTCTGAAATACTTGAAAAAATTAGGGATTTTTTTTTCTAACTGTTTTAAAATTATAGTTACCAAATGACTAATTTTCTAGGGAAATATTTTGTTTTGAACAGCAAAATATGTGTAATGTTTTAGTAAATTTAAAAAAAAAAGAAATTTATTTTGGTTGTAATATTGGAATGAGTTCAGGCATTCTAACGAGCATTATAATAAAATTGTTTGTTTATGAAACAAGAAAAAAAGAATTACTGTTTAAATGTTGTCTTTTTTCCCAAGATATTTTTCCTGAAAATTCTTAAAACTATTGTTGAAAATTCTTAAAACTATTATATTTCCAGCTGAGTGTAAATCACAAAAAGGTAGGAGTTGGTTAAGAAAGGAAGGTGGACATTTCACTGTCACTAAACTGATTTTTAAAAAGGGCATGCTCCAACTAACAATGCTATTAAGTTATCCATATTGTTATTTTTAGGATAAATTTCTGTATTTCCTTTATTTTGAGTTATATATATATATAGAGAGAGAGAGAGAGTAATTTGAACAGATGTTTCATATGGTAATTCACATTGGCACTCTGACTGATGTATAAACAAATGATGATTTACTCTATATTTTAAAAATTAACACAACTTAGAAAAAAATTACTTATGAATTCGATCGAATTGTTAACTATATTTGTTGCTTATTATGTGCAATTGATCAATATTTCAAGATTTTATTCATTAATGAAAACATAATTTTCTCCCCTAGTGCAAAGCACTCCAGGTGAAGTTATAGTTCCAGGAGAGAATGCTTCTACGGATGAGGATCGTCCCTCAAAAAAGCAAAAGGTAACATTATTTATTATATAAACGTAACCAGGGGTCCGTCCAGGTCAAATTTGTTGCCCTTTAGCGTTACTTTCACAAATTCACCTTTCAGAAAAACTGTTGTTTCATGAAATACTTTTAAAAGAGCAAGTTCTAAGATTCTCCTCTCTGCCTCTTAAAAAAAAATTCTATCCCTGTAAAAACGATACATTTCGGATGAATTATGCATTTCAACTTTCAATGGAACCCTCCCGTAGATTGTTATTATGACATTGAAGAATTCGCTTCCCTCCCAATTTTTATTTTATAACCGCCGTTTAACAGCTGACCCAATTTTTGGGTTTATGACTATTAATGTTCAACTCCGTAGCCTTGTAATTTTGAACCCAATCCAGAAGACAAGGGAACTCCTGGATCAAGTATTGGGAGAAATTTGCCTTCGTGGAGGACTTTTTTTGATGGACTTAACCCACATTTGTGTTACATGGAGAGGTAGACCACGAGAACCTCCCGCGATTAGCCTGACGGCAAGGGGTCTATAACCCATGATTCGTCTACCAGAGGATATTTCACGTCAGCACTGTGGTGGGTGCGAGCCAGATGCGGAATTCATATCAACCAGCCATCGCCAGGATCAAACCCCGGTTCACCTCGTTAGATGGCGAACGCTCTCTCCCCTGAGCCATCGCTGCTCTTCCCGCCCAATTTGTAAGAAGAGCGCTTTTCTTCCCCATGCCTAGCCGAGAGCATGCTGTGACCATGAAATGCTGTGGGAGGCAAGAAGCGTCAGCCGCTCTGTTCCTTACTTGAAGTGGGGGGGAAAACGTCAGAACCACGCAAACCCCGTTCTCGTTGCGATCTACAGAAAATAGGAGTTTTTCTGCCGGTTGTCTTTTACGAATAGGTAGCACATGTTATGTCAGATGGTGTGGTAAGCCTAAAAAGTTGCTAATGCCAATTTAAAGTGAGCTTTATTTTTGCTGTGTTTTTTAAAATGAAACAATGAGACTCTCACTCTATAAACTTTACAGAAAGACGAAATTCAAACATTATCTTAAACTTTATTCTAACAGACTTTTATTTTTTATGAAATTTTTTTTTTCCCCTATGGAATTTTTTTCTGTATGAGTTAGTCGAAAATGTTATAATGAAAATACCTTTTAGTGCTAGTACCATTAAATGCATGTTTTGATTAAATTCAAGTTAAAAGTTTACTAAGGACAATGATTTTTGTGGATTTTTAAATTTGGACTCAATTTTTAAGCTCAAAATTTTACAATAGCAAAATTGTTTTTGAATATATGAGAAAAAATATATAGAAATTTTTAAAGATTTTTATTTGTAGTAACAATTTGTGAAAATATTTTTTTACTTAACCATATTTTTGTGTTGATTTTTTAATATAATTTTTAATTTTCACAAATTATGTCTAAATTTTCACAAAATAGGTACCTCTCAAAGAAACCTAGACAGACCCCTGGTAACATTATTTATTTTGTCTAAATTGAGAATGTATTATGAGCTAATTTTTAAAAGTCATTATCCTATTAGATAACTGATTTTTTTTTCTTCTAATAGGCTTCAGAAAAATCTGAAAAAAGAGGTAAGCTTTATTTGAATCATTTAAACAATATTTGAAAATTCAAATAAATAAGCTTTGTAGTCATCATTCATTGACTATCAAGCTTATTTATTTGAAATTTTGCTGTTTGCTTATTATAATATTAATTTCTTACTTGTGCTATGTTTATAAATGTTTCATTTTTAATTAATTAACTCTTATTGTTTATCCTATGTTTGTTTTTTTTCCCAAACATGCTTCAAAAACTTTTTTTTCTAACATTACTTTTTTGAGTCATTTAACACAATGCATTTGTTGAGTTTTTATCTTTTCTCTCATTTAACTAGTTAGCTCAAAATGTTTGCTAATCTTTGGTAAACATAGGTCCCATAATATAATGCATAATTTTTCCTCTTTTTTTATCAGGCTTATTTTACAACACTTGATCAAATTACTTAAAATACTTAATTCTACATACAATTAGACAACAAGAATTTTTATTGTTTCTATCAAAGTAAATTTTCAAAAATANCTTCCTGAACGACAGCGGGTGCTATATGAGTTTTAAAAAAAAATAAATAAATAAAAATGATGATAAACTGCTTGTGAGATGGGTCCTTTTATTTGTTTTTATAGTAAATAAAATTCTGAATTTAAATAGAGAACAAGTGAAAAGAAACTTAAGTTATTATTTTTTAACCTCATAAATAAATGATAGGGAACCATTTCTTCCCGTTTTGAAATATGACACCTAAGGCAATTTATCGAGCAGGCGCTGTTACATGCTTCAATAATGCAATTGTAGAAATGTAAGTTTGTGGAAAAATGATTATATGGCGTGCACTGCAGATTTCATTCTTTTGAGAATTTTATTCACAAAAATATAGTCATATGGGAAATTATTTTTTTTTTAAGGAACAGATAAAAAATTTTACCTAAATTTTAAAAGACCACTTTTCTTCTTGTTATTAATCAAAGATAATCTGATTTGATTCATTTCTAGTTAAATTTAAAAAAGCATAAATGTTTACCTGTGCGAATTTCAATATATGTATGTTTAGATAAGCAAAAAATTTTCCTACAATAGTCTGAAAAAATTTCATCTGGAGTTATGTGTCTTGGAGGCATTTATTTTATTTCAATTTGATTATTTCTATGGTTTCATTCCATCTTTCTTTTAAGCATTATTGTATATGTTTCAAATTAAGTTTATGCATGCACATCTGGTATTTAATTTTTATCTACTATTTTTTAAATTTGTTATAAGTTTAGGTTAGCCTAAATTTTACATAAAATTTTGCAATTTAATTATGTATGAATTCATAATGATAATGTATAACCAAAAATTTAAAACTGATGATTATGATTTTAAAAAATTATTTTACTTAAAATCAGTTATCAAATTGTGTTGTTTTTACTCTCTAATCATTGTTTATCTGTGCATCTCTTCTCTGTAGTCCATTGTAGACGCCCGTTCTGTACCTCAGACTAAACGGAAAAGAAAAAGCAATACTGTATCAAAAATAATTACTGAGAAATCACAGCCTGATCTCAATCAATTTGCTGACATTAACTTGCCTGAGGTTGAAAAGTATCGTCAACTGTATGGACAGAGTATATGTGAGTTTTGAACTTTCTTTTTTAATTAGCATATCTTTTAAAAGAATCGAATAGTTTTCAACTGTACTTTTTTCGTTTTAGATAATCCCAATCTTCCCACAATAACTGGAATTACTACATTCAGTGCAACGGGTATTCCTCAAACATTTCCAATGGCTCAGCCTATGTCATTCCCCATTATGCAGGTCCAGCCTAGTCAAGTAATAGGAGTACCCGTCATTAGTCAAGGTAGAATAATCTCAGTTATTATTTGTTATAAAAGTTTACAAAATAATTATTTAAAACATTACATTTCAAAACAAAATTTTATTGAATTTAGGATGTCAAGTACTGCAAATTTTCTGTATTTTCTAAAAATTAAAACAGTTGAAAGATCGGGGCTCCCATGGACCAGGAAGAATAAAGAAAAATGAATTGTCAGAGAATTTTATTGCAACTCTAAAAAGCAGTGACTGGAAAATTCCTATATCATACCTGAAAAATAATCAGTCTTTGAATAATCAGTAGCAGTAATCACTTATTGAGATTTGATTTAAATAATTCTAACATCTGTTACAATTATTTGTAGTAAAATTTCCAAATTTTAGTGAAATTTTTCCATGTTTCCATTCTAATTCAATGATATCTTTTTATCATAATATTTGACAAAACGAAAAATTTTCTGATGAAAAATTTTATGGCATAAAGTATTGTCTGGATTTGTATTGAAATTTTTCTGAAATACCTGAAAAAGTCAGGGTTTTTTTTTTCTTTTTTACTGTTTTGAAATTATAGTTAGCAAATGTCTAATTTTCAAGAGAAATATTTTGTTTTGGACAGGCAAAATATGTGTAATGTTTTAGTAAATGAAAAAAAAAACTTACTTAATTTTGGTTGTAATATTGGAATGAGTTCAGACATTCTAACGGGCATTATGATAAAATTGTTTGTTTATGAAACAAGAAAAAAAGAATTATTGGTTACATTTTGTCTTTTTCCCCAAGATATTTTTCCTGAAAATTCTTAAAACTATTGGTTACCCTGTATTTCCAGCTGAGTGAAAGTCATTAAAAGGGTAGGAGTTAGTTAAGAAAGGAAGGTGGGCATTTCACTGTCATAAACTGATTTTTAAAAAGGACATGCTCCAACTAACAATGCTATTAAGTTATCCAAATTGTTATTTTTAGGGTTATTTCCTTTATTTTGAGTTACATACATATATGAGTTATATATACATATGTGAGTTATATATACATATATGAGTTTCATATGGCGATTCCATTGGCACTCTGGCTGATGTATAAACAAATGATGATTTACTGTATATAGTAAAATTTAAAAATTAACGCATCTTAGAAAAAAATTATTTAGGAATTAGATCGAATTGTTAACTATATTTGTTGCTTATTATTCGCAATTGATCAATATTTCGAGATTTTATTTATTAATGAAAACATAATTTTTTCCCCATAGTGCAAAGCACTCCAGGTGAAGTTATAGTTCCAGGAGAGAATGCTTCTACAGATGAGGATCGTCCCTCAAAAAAGCAAAAGGTAACATTATTATATAAACGTAACCAGGGGTCAGTCCAGGTCAAATTTGTTACCCTTTAGCGGTACTTTCACAAATTTAACTTTAGGAAAAACTGTTGTTTCACAAAATACTTTTAAAAGAGCAAGTTCTAAGATTCTCCTCTCTGCCTCTTTAAAAAAAAATTTTTTTATCCCTGTAAAAACGATAAATTCCGTATGAATTATGCGTTTTAACGGAACCCTCCCGTGGATTGTTATTATGACATCGAAGGGAATTCGCTTCCCTCCCAATTTTTATTTTATAACCATCGTTGAACAGCTGACCCAATTTTTGGGTTTACGACTATTAATTTTCAACTCCGTAGCCTTGTAATTTTGAACCCAATCCAGAAGACGAGGGAACTCCTGGATCAAGTATTGGGAGAAATTTGCCTTCGTGGAGGACTTTTTTTGATGAATTTAACCCGCATATGTGTTACATGGAGAGGAAGAGCACGAGAACCTCCCATGGTTAGCCTGGCGGCAAGGGGACTGTAACCCATGATTCGTCTACCACTGAGGATATTTCACGTCAGCACTGTGGTCGGTGCAAGCCGGATGCGGAATTTATATCAACCAACCATCGCCAGGATTGAACCTCGGTTCATTTCGTTGGAAGACGAACGCTCTCTCCCCTGAGCCATCGCTGCTCTTCCCGCTCGATTTGTAAGAAGAGCGCTTTTCTCCCCCATGCCTAGCCGGATGCATGGTGTGATCATGAAATGCCGAGGGAGGCAAAAAGCGTCAGCCACTCTGTTCCTTACTTGGAGTGGGGAGAAAAACTTCAGTACCATGCAAACCCCGTTCTCGTTGTGATCTACAGAAAATATGAGCTTTTCTGCCAGTTGTCTTTTACGAATAGGTAGCACACGTTATATAAGATGGTGTGGTAAGCCTAAAAAGTCGCTTATGCCATATTAAAGCGAGCTTTATTTTTGCTGTGTTTTTTAAAATGAAACAATGAGACTCTCACTCTATAAACTTTGCAAAAAGTCAAAATTCAAACATGATCTTAAACATTATTGTAAATTTATTCTAACAGACCTTTATTTTTTATGAATTTTTTTTTCCCCTATGAAATTTTTTTCTGTATGAGTTAGTCGAAAATGTTATAATGAAAATACCTTTTAACTGCATTTAATGGTGCTAGTACCATTAAATGCATGTTTTTATTAAATTCAGGTTAAAAGTTTACTATGGACAATGATTTTTATGGATTTTTAAATTTGGACTCAATTTTTAAGCTCAAAATTTTACAATAGCAAAATTGTTTTTGAATATATGAGAAAAAATATATAGAAATCTTTAATGATTTTTATTTGTAGTAACAATTTGTGAAAATATTTTTTTACTTTACCATATTTTTGTGTTGATTTTTTTAATATAATTTTTTATTTTCACAAATTATGTCTAAATTTTCACAAAATAGGTACCTTTCAAAAAAAACCTAGACAGACCCCTGGTAACATTATTTATTTTGTCTGAATTGAGAATGTATTATGAGCTAGTTTTTGAAAGTCATTATCCTATTAGATAACTGATTTTTTTTTCTTCTAATAGGCTTCAGAAAAATCTGAAAAAAGAGGTAAGCCTTATTTGAATCATTTAAACAATATTTGAAAATTGAAATAAATAAGCTTTGCAGTCATCATTCATTGACTACCAAGCTTATTTATTTGAATTTTTGCTGTTTGCTTTTTATAATATTAATTTCTTACTTGTGCTATGTTTATAAATGTCTCGTTTTTAATTAATTAACTCTTATTGTTTATGAAATTTAGTCTATCCTATGTTTTTTTTTTTCCCAAACGTGCTTCAAAAACTTTTCTTCTAACATAACCTTTTAAGGTTGATAATGCATTTGTTGAGTTTTTATCTTTTCTCTCGTTTATTTAACAAGGTACTTCAAAAAATTTGCTATTCTTTGGTAAACATAGGTCCCATGATATAATGCACTATTTTTCCTCTTTTTTTAATCAGACTTATTTTACAACAATTTGATCAGATTACTTAATTCTACATACAATTAGACAACAAGAGAATTTTTATGGTTCCTATCAAAGTTAATTTTCTAATATAGTTTATGATCTAAATGATTATCTAAGCTCTAAATGAGCATGCCAAAATAATATTTGGGAATTTAACCAATCTAATAAGTTTCTATATTCTATTCAATAATTTAACTAGGTAAATTTAATCTTAAAAATACTTTATGCATGTTGTTTAGGTGATGCTAATGACGATGAAGAAGACTGTGATAAGCCATTAGCTTCATTGATTGGACACCCTATTGTAAGTTGCAAATCTCTCATCATTCATTTGATATATTTATAAATAACTGATTAGAGTTTGATCCTATGATTGTGAAACATTTTTAGGGATTAATACAAAATAATTTTACTACCCTTTATCTGCCTCTTAACAAAAAATATACTTTTTTTATTTATTTAATAAGCATTACCATCACACAAAAATATTAATTTGATTCATTTATAATAAATTAGCTCTATGATATTTAATATATTTGGTGAGAAATAATCGCTGTAAACTAATTATTAATTTTTAAAATATATTTTAGATTTTATACTTTATAATAATAACTTTTAACGGAAATAGATATTCAGTTAGAAATGTTATATTAGCCTCTAAAATTTGAATTTTCTGTAAAACATTTTATTGATTGAGTGGCACACACAAATTATACAGAGATGATTGTGCTCCGAAAAAAATCCAGATTACCGGATTTTTCGCTAACCGTGATTCGGAAATCTAAAGTCTAGAAGTTTCAGGAAATCATCGATCACATTTATGTTTAAAAATTCTTATCTAGTATTAGAACTAGATTGTTATATATCTTATCGAAATATTAGAACTAGAATTTATGCTTGGTATCTCTTTCATTTGTAAATATTTTCTCTGGTAGAATAATGTGATTAGACATAAAAGTAAACATATACATAATTTTTCATTTGAATTATGCTGCATATAATTTATTTAGAATGAAGACATTAATTTTTGGAAATGTGTCATTAATGATTTTACTCCGGAAATTTTCAGGATTTTTGAGTTGGGCTCACAATCACCTCTGAAGATATCAATTTTAATTTTGTATTAAAAGCTTCAGTACTCAAGCTCAAGTTATACTGAAATTGTTTAAAATTGACGCACTTTTGTTCAAAATAAGCATAATATTTTATCTTAATTAATGTATTTATTTATTTTTATCTTTGTAGGATAGTGTTTTAGAAAAAAACATTTCAGATATTGTTGAGCAAACTGATTTGCAAGATATAACAATAAATAAAGTTATACAAAAAGTAAGTGTTTTCTGTTTATTTCTAATGAGTTTATAATTTTGTGATTTTTTTCTTTATATTTTTTATATTCATTATTTTTTATATTTTTTCTTTATATCTTTTAACTTAGCAATGCTCCTTGTATTCATTTTTTCCAATAAACATTTTCAATAATAATTCAATTTTCAGTAAAAAATATTGTGTTAAAATATACAAAAAGTTGAGTAGTCTAGATCAAACTTCATTTCTTGAAGATAAAAAAAAAAGGTTTATTATGTCACATTTTTACTTAACTTAAATTTTAAAAACTAACATTACTTTATTGTAGTATATAGTATTTGGTAGTTAATGAAATATAAATAAAAATATGTCTTATTATTCAACATGTTTGTCTATTGTCTTATTATTCAATAATGTCGCAAATCTTTTTTCCTTATTCTATCAACATTTGCTGTGTTTTTTGTAATAAATACGTTTTAAACCAATATCTGTATACATCAAAATCGGGGTTAAATTTTTATAAATGAAATCTACTTAGTTATTAGCTTTCATATCGAACTCTAATTTTCTAATAAAGTAAAATAAATGTATAAAAGAAACTGCAATTTTCTTTTTAAATTTCAATTTATTGTAATTATACTGCATTTCACACTGTCAATACCTTCATACTATTATAGAATGAAAAAAAACTTAACCACCAAAGTTTACAGGTGGTTGAACTTTTAAATATAATTACTAAAAAAAATTATGTTGCAATGCTTTGTTTTAAAAATTTCTTCATAATATTTGTTAATTTAACCTTGAAATTCGGCCTATGATTTGTTATACAACATTTAAAATTTTTCATGCATTGCCTGATATCATTTTAAGGGTGGTACAACATATTTTTGTGTAATAATTACTAAACAATGATGATAAACATATATTTTTTCGTCTATTAAAGTAAACTTGTATTATTTTAGATTTACAGTATGTACCCAAAGTTTGATTTGTCTTATCGCAAGGAGTTTATCAAATCGACTGTTAGAAATGTAAGTATTTGCCTTTGTTTAATTTAAAATTATCTGCTGGGTGAAATAAATTTGTTTGAAAGAGTAATTTCTTTTTAAAAATAAATCAAGATGTTTATAATTAAGTTGGAAAATTTTCTGGTTTATTTAAATAATACCTCTGACTTTTACCAAAATTATTTCTTTAAGCAAATGTTATTTCAATGTATTTACTGCAACTGCACAAATTTTTTTTTCAAATGTGTCAGTTGTAAAACTGAGTGTTAATGGCAGAAAGTAGAGGGGACTAAGTTGATAAAAAAAGAAGAAAAAAAAAGCAGTTTTGTAAATGAATAATAAAAATTACAGTTTTTGACAGTTTAGTCAGTAAAGGGAAAAAAAACGCAAAACATAGGATAAATATTCAATGGTTTCATATCCCATCCTTTTAAATGTTTTCGAAAATTGAAATAGTATTATAGGGGAACGAAGTAGACATTTAAAAAAATCGAGAGATTTATTGATGTGCAGATCATTATTATTATATTGAGGGGAAATTGAACTATTAAAAAAAATGTTTTGAATTTAGTCTTAGTCTGAATTAGCTAAATTTCATTTACCGTAGATTCCGGCGCATAACGCACACCCGTAATTTCTAATTACTTTTTTTAAATTTTAAGATATACTCTTCGTATAACGCGCACGAAAATTTGGATTGTACATGTGCAATATCGTCTTTCAAGATCATAAATAAAAAGTTTTTTTCCCTATCTTTTGCAAAAATAAAAGAACTGAATTTGACATCTATGTGAGGGTAGAATTGAAAGAGCAATAATGTGATTCTGGATGGACAAAAACAGTGTTAAATTGTGGGTTAAAAACATCTGGCAAATCCGTCCTGGTTGCGTTAGAAAACCACGAAGCCTTTTAGAGTGAGACATGTTTAGGTCCAACCTTACAGATAATTAAAAAAAAAATGTTATTATAATACAAAAAAATTTTAATAATTGTAATTGATAGCGGAAGACGAATATAATGAACTATTTATGTAATAACAAAAATCAATGAAGTATATAGGTAAAGGTATGTTATTTCTTTAAAATAAAAGTATTTTTCTATATTTAAATTTTTTTAATCCATAATTTTTTATATTCGGCGTATACCGCGCACCCATAGATTTGAATGTTTTTTTTTCGTATTAAAAGTGCGCATTATACGCCGGAATATACGGTAACTATTCAGAGAAAATATAACTGGGCCTCCATATGTTTTGTTTTATACTAGAAATTTATTTTTTTATATGTATATATATATTCTACATGTGTTATAAGGCAAGACCAATGATCTCACAGAACTACTTAGTTGGAAGATTTTAATTCTTGTTTTTTTAAACTCCTATAATTTGCCTCCTAAAACGTGTTTAGATCGCTGGTGTCTTTTGATTTAAACACCCTCAAATTATTATTGCATTTTCTGTTATTTTTTGATAGAGGTGTCAGCTGTTATGATTTATCTGTAAATATTACGATTTCATTGTCAAGATTATGATCTTATAATTGAGTAATAATAATTACTGTTTTTGACAGTTTTCAATATAGTTCAAGAAAAATATGAAAATCTCATGACGAAGTTATACCTCTTATAATTGAACAATTTATTCCCCACCCCCTTTTTTTTTAGTTTTAATAATTTTTCTAACAGGAAAAAAATTTCCCAATGTGATTAATGTGGTTGAAGATATACTGGTATAATTTTATATTAAAATGTGCTTAAATTACATTCATTAAAACATGAAAAAGTTTCATGCATGAAATGAAAAAATAATACATTATTTAAGAAATAAAATTTTGTGTATACACACCGTTAACTAACTCTATGAACAAATCATCTAGTTTAACATTAGTTTTTTATGATATTAGTTTTAATTTTATTTCATTTACAAAACTTACAACTTTAATCCATCATAAAAACATATAATTAATTTCAAGTGGAATAATTATACATTTTCAAAAGAGTCAAATTTGTCAATAACTGTTTGAAGTGAAAAAAATAACATAGTTTTAAAATTTCTCAAGAGAAAGTATTTATTCCAATTGAATTACTAATTATTTTATAGATCTCATCAGAACCCTTAAAAATAGCCGAAATATTAAATTAATGAAAAATATACATCTCAGTGCTAATAAAAAAGTATTTATTGAAATAGTGAGTTTATGCATCTTTGGCAGAAAATGGGTTAAATATCTATATAAAATGAAATAGTATATGCTCCTTAAAATTGTGCTGATATAAATTCCAAAGACGCTTATTATTTATTTTTGTGTTATTGTACTTTTGAGTACTGGTAGTTAGTTTGGAAGGTTAGCACTTCTGTTTTTTGGGTTATAATACAGATTGATTTTGCACTGCTGATAAAAAAAACGGGGGAATAAAACAGTTATAAATCCCAGACTTATATCAAATACTGATTGTATGAATTTAATTTTTCTGTAAATTTTATTTAAGTTCTCGGAAATAATCGTGAAAAAGTAGATGAGATGATGAAATGTTTACATCTGGTTCGAGTTTTTATTTCTAAATTGTCATATGTTTTTCAAACATTTTAAACTTGCTTTAAGTTTTTTTTAAAAAACTATATTACTTCTTATAGCTTTTGTATAAATTGGGAGAAAAAAATAACTCAAATGTTCCAAGTGGAGATCGCAATACCAACAGCCCTGATTGTTCTGTTACAACAACAGATATCCAAGATAATAGCATGGATGAATCTTCTGAAGCTAGTGCAAAATCTTGATGCATATCAGTCTCACAATTCATATGTAAATGAACTTTTCATTTCCTTCATCTTCCTCTTAAACTAGCTACTATTCCGACTGATGAACTTTTTTTTTTTTTACTTATATAAGTGTTACAGCACAAATTTCTATGTTACAACCATGGTCATTTCTCATTAATTTAAAGGAAGAAACAGAGAATATTGTATATCTATATATATATATAAGTTGAATATGAAATTAAAAACATTTTAATAAAAAATTAAGTTGGTTTCATTATATTTTGTGTGTTAGAAAAAGTTGAAAAGAGAGAATAATTTTTAAATGGAGTTCTTTCATAAAAAAATTTTCTTCATATTATTAGAAATCAAGTTTTTAAAGCATATTAACCCGTTTCAATTGAAGCTGGCTAACATGATTTAAAAACTCCATTAATCAATAGAATATGTATATCAATCAATATATGAATGGTTTTTAATCAGTACCGGCCAGGTAGCCGAGCGGTTAGCATGCCTGAGTGTGAAAACAATGGTTGCGGTTTCGAATCCCGCTCTGGGTGGATGTTTCTCTCTATGTGTTGTCCTCTGTGTGAATGTGGCCCACCCTATGAACAGGTATTTATGGTAGTGTGGCGTGCATAATGTTGCTTGCCTCCGTGACTTAGGTTCACAGGTGCCCACTGGGTAACGTTAAATGAGCAACACTTCCGGCATCTTCCGAGGTGAAGAACAAAAGTTCATACAGTGCCTGCCGTTAGAGAGAAGAAGAAAAAGAAGCAAAGGTATGGTTCGAAACATAATAAGAGCCTAAAGACCATCAATTTATATCTTTAGCTTTTTTTCCTCTTAAGGAGTTAAAAAATTTTCAAAATTACACTAAATTAATTAGATCACTGTTATAGTAATATTTAAAAAATTTAAACCAAAAGAAAATATATGCATGCATAATAAAATAAGATTTTTGTGCAACTTTCTCTGAATAAATGGTGGCACTTAATGCTAATTTATAAATACTCTAAAACATCAGTTCCCTATAGGGGCTGCGTAAGAACCCTACGGTACCGTGAAAGAGTAAAAGAGGTTCTGTGAATTGGTTCTTATAACCAGTGAGTTTTGAAACCTCCGATTATATTTAGATCTAACCTGTAGTTCATAATTTATTTGATCTTTGGGTTATCTTTAAGAAATTATTTGAAGTAAAGTGGAAATGGCTTTTTTTTAAAAATATATAATAATTCTAACAATAATATATTTGACAAATTAAGAAAAGAACAAGCATTTATAAAATATTGCATTATAGTTGCAAATCAAGATAAAATAACTAACTTTGAAAGTTTATAGCAAATCTTTTAAGTTATTTCGAAGTAAACCATAATTCCTTCCTATTTTATTTCATATATTATATTATTTTCAGCTTATGTGTATACACCAAAAACAAATTCTTATCTAGCATAGATATAGCACAAGGACTGCAAATTAACTTGTCATACATAAAACCTAATTTTAGATTAATGATAAAAGAATGAAAAATCTTCATTCTTTTAATTAAAATTTTTTAAAATAGTCTTTTATAGGTAATAGTGTTCACAATTACTTTAAAACTTTATTTCTTAAGTCGGGGTTCTGCTGGAACAAGGTTGATTTTATAACAGGGGTGGCCAACATTGAAGGCCTCTTTGAAGGATTATTTGTGGCTCTTGATAAATGTACTCGAGATCCCTTTTCATTTTTGTGCTATTATACAGTAGGGAACCGATTATCCGGAACGATCGGGACCATCGATATTCCGGATAACTGATTTTTCCGGTTTTCTGAATCGCTAAAAAAAGCCGTTTTAGTTATTGTTAAAACCAACTAAAGAAAAGAAAAATTGGAAATAATCTTAAAAAGAAGAAAAAACGATGAAGTAATACACTAATGATTATTACCAAAATGATGGTAAAGTAAACATCTTTCAAAAAAGAACAAAAAATCCTAAAAATCTTATGAGGAAAAAAAATTTTTTTTTTTTAAAGTAGCGGGAAAATTTATCGAATTTCGTTCCGGTTTTCTGATTTCCGGATAACGGGTTCTGTACTGTATTTTTAAAAAATTATTATCATTCCGTATGTGTTTCAAAATGTCTTTTAAATTACTGAAAACAAATATGAAAGACTAAGTGCTACGTTGTCCAAATCAAAGTGAGTTTTCCATTTCCAATATAATTATGACCCAAAAAGCATCTGGAGAATTAGAATTAATAGAGGTGCAAGAAAATCAAGCTCTACAATTAAAATATAAGTCGACGTCATTACTGAATTTTGGAAGTTTGTAAAAGAATCGAAGTATCCTGAATTAAAAAAGGCTGATTGTAGAATTATTTCAGTATTAGGAACAACGTTCTTATGTGAATCATTTTATTCCACTTTAAAATTCGTGAAATCCAAACAACGATCAGTATTAGTTACCCAGCATCTCAAAGAATAACTGAGAAGTGCTGTCACCAATTATTCATCATATTTTAAAGAATTATCAAGAGAAGTAAAATAAATGTGTTAAGTTTTTAATATTTAAATTCCAAACACATATTTTGTACTTATACTTATATGTTCTCAATAAATATAATTTATGTAAAAAAATATTTTTAATACCTTTTTTGCATACCTTTTAATTACGTATTTAATTACGGCTCGCGAAAAATGGCTCGACTCTAAAGGAGCTTGGCCACCCCTGTTATATACGGTTCCGTAGTTGAAAAAATTAATTCTCATATTTTTTCATACTTGTATATAATGTTGTATATATTTATAATTACATTTATCATTGACTAAAGGGACTTCCCCAGTATTCACCCCAAATTTACAGACTATGAAATTATCTTCAGCTCTTAAATTGACTTTAACTCAGATATGACTGTAATTCTACGGAGGCTTCACTGCCACCACTCGAATCTCTTCTTTACCAATGCCATTAGTCTCAATTATTTTAACAGACCAGATGAAAGAGTGAGATGCCCACACTGCCACCACTCGAATCTCTTCTTTACCAATGCCATTAGTCTCAATTATTTTAACAGACCAGATGAAAGAGTGAGATGCCCGCACTCCCACCACTCGAATCTCTTCTATACCAATGCCATTAGTCTCAATTATTTTAACAGACCAGATGAAGGAGTGAGATGCCCGCACTTCCACCACTCGAATCTCTTCTTTACCAATGCCATTAGTCTCAATTATTTTAACAGACCAGATGAAGGAGTGAGATGCCCGCTTCGCGTAGGTACTCTACGACAAATCCTATCAAGTCAAGTCAAAAAATCAGGAACCGCAACTTTAATATACAAGACGGGAAAAGTTTATAATTTTGCAATTTGTTAGTAATTTAGCAATTTTTGGTTTTTCAACTAAAGAAAAAAAAGAAATTCTGCTGACAACACTGTTCTTTTTCAAATGAGGTTAGTAATTTTAATGTCGTTGAGTAGTTTGAAGCTAAAGATAAATTTGTTATTTTTTTTCTTTCTTCTGAAAAATGGTGCACTTTAAAATGGTGGCACCTCTTTCATTGCTGCGAAGTTGGAAAAAGCGGTGTCAATGAGAATGAAGCGGTGAGTTCGTGTACGTGGGACAGCTGGCCGACACAGTCTATAAGACTGTGCATGCATATAGTAGGAGCAAGATAGCACTGCAGAATTAAAAGTGGTAGTACATTTATTTTAATACACTATGTTTAAAATAAATGTATTACCGCTCGCTTATGTAAATGTTCGCTTTTTTTAAATCATGCTGAAAATAAGTGAACATTTTCTTCTTTGCGTAATCACATAAAGTTTAAAAAGAAATTACAGATGCTTCATTATAGATATAAATAAAGAGTGAATGGGGTATTTCCTCGTTCAGCTAAGAGGGGTAGAGTTCATCCTGACGACCCGACATCATATAGCAATGTGGGGTCGGAAATGCTTTCCTGAAGCGGTGATGTACACAGAAGCACCATAAAGAAAAGAGACAGTAAGTGGAAAATCGTTTTAATAATACATTGAAAAAAGCATAAGGTCCCTGGGTCAAAGTAAGTGTTCGAAGTTTCTGCCACCGGCTACAATGCACACCTCACATCTCCGGCGCATGGACATCCGAACATTCTGCAATACTCCAGGCATATCTCGAATTTCTCCGGCAGTTACTGCGATTCTTGCAACAAGTTCCTCAACATTGTCAACAGGGATGTCGTAAACCAGTGTTTTCATATGACCCCAGAAATAAAAATCAAGACATGATAGGTCGGGTGACCGAGGAGGCCAACGCACTGAACTGCCACTGTTGACTAAATGTGACATCTAGGTGGTTGCGAACATTTAGGCTGAAAGGGGCAATGGGTGTTGGAACTACATTGTCTGTTGCGTTGATGCAGAAATCTGTTCGTCTCCCAAAAGTTGTGGTAATACTTGCTGCAGAAAGATCAAGTAGTTACGTCCAGTTAGACGAAATGGTAACAAGTAAGGTCCGATGAGGTGATCTCCTATAATACCGGCCCAAACATTGATCGAAAATCGAGACTGTGCTGCACGACGTCGTATTGCATGCGGGTTCTCCTCTGTCCAGATATGGGAATCCGTCCCAGACAGGTTGAAAATTCCTTCCCTTGTGAAGGATGCCTCACCGGAAGCAGGGAAAAGGGGATCTGTAGCACACTTTCCAAGGTACCGCTGTGCGAAAGCAATACGAGGTGCATAATCATCCGGTTTCAATGCCTGCATGCGAAACGGATGCATGTAGTGCTCTCGGAGAATCCTCCAGACGCTTCAACGGGAAATTCTGAGTTCGTACGCTAGACTTCGCGTACTCCTACTTGGCGTCTCCTGCATCAGCTGCAGCACATTCTCTTCGACAGCCGGAGTCCGCACTGTTCTTAACCGGTCCCTGCCAGCTCTTTCAAATGAACCCGTCTCAGCTAACCTCTGGTGCAGGCGTGCAAAGAAATTATGACTGGGAATACAGCTCGTCGGATATCGTTCCGCATAGAAACGCTGCGTGGCTGACCCACTACAATCTGCAGCCCCGTACGCCAAATGCATATCGGCTAACTCTGTATTCGTATAATCAGTCATCCTACTAACTTCGCGTCCTTGTGCTAAATGACGATTCCCTGCACGAAAGCTCGGAACTTTTGTACAACGCCATCTACCGCGTCTGGAAAGCAATTCCAATCCCGCATTGCTATATGATTTCGAGTCGTCAGCGTCAGGATACACCCTACCCCTCTTAGGAGTTCTGAAACGTTTAACTGAAACACTCTGTAAAAGAAGGGGGGAAAAACACAAATCAGACCAGTCAAATTAGAGTAGAACTACCTTATTAATGTTAAAGAAGTTAGCGATTTTCCTTCTACATACCAAGTTTTTGATGGAGGAGAGATGACCTGGATCATTGAAGTCAACTAAAGGGTCATCATTTTTTTACAGGTAGGAATGATAAAGAAAAACAGAAGCTTCGTTACATGTTATTTAAGAACCATTTTAATCGCTATTATCAGAGGTCCAGCAGGATTTTCTTTTAAATATTTTCACTCCAAAAGAATAGCAGTGGGGAAGGTTGCAAATTCAAGAAAAAATATTACAGCATGCTCTTGATGGTGAGAATATAGCCTCGTTGACAGCCGGAAAGCCGCCTTGGTGCATCATCGCTACATTCAGGGCGTTGGAAAAATAGAGAAAAGAAAAAATTGACTCTTCGCGTTATCTGGTCATGGTAGAATGTGTGGTTCGGCATCGCAGTCATATCGGCTGGCCGGGTTGCCTGAGGCCGAAGTGGTCCTTTACCCCTACCCCTTCATCATGTGGTGAGGATCGTTCAGGTGGTATACCTTCTGGTCCTTCTAGTTTAGAAATAAAAGTAAGGATTAATAAATGGGCACATTACCCGAGTAAGTTTCATCAGAGATGATGAAGATTGCATATATATATAAATAAATAAATAAATACAAATACATAAATAAGTAAATATAAATAAATAATAATAATACATAAATAATAATAAATATAAATACATAAGTGCAAATTCAGATAATCAAAATTATACTTCCTTCTTAAATAACAAAAACCTGCATCAACTGTACATCACATCACCAAATAACGCTAATTTATCAATCCAAAGCTTAGTCTAGCTCAAAGTGCCATATCAAATCAACTTAATTTGTGTCAACGCTTCATATATATATATATATTCTCTTTTTTTATATCGAATATCGTCATATATAGAATGTGTGGTTCGCGTGGATGTCTCCATATTTATAGGTGCAGAAATTACTTTTAGGGTGCAAGCAAACAGATGAGCGCAGAAAGCGAAATCAAGAAATATCTTGAACTGCTTATTTATACTCGCTCTCATTTCTGCCTCAAAATGAACGACCTTGAAATACTAATTTCTTCCCTGCTAACTCTAATCAGCAGATTTTTTATTTTCAGAACGATCAGAGAAGTAGAAAATTACATTAGAAGTAGCAATTAAAAATCAAGATGACGAAACCAAAGCTATGACGACATTGCACGTGTTGTTCAAAGAAGCCTGCAACCGGCGCCTGCCATGCTTAATATTATAACGCTCAGAAAAACTAATGAGGTGGCAATCTTAAGGGAGGGAAAGGGTAAAATTACCAAAATGAAAGTCATTGACCCGATATCACATTACTTCCCCCCCCCCTCATTTCCATAAACAACAAAAACAAACATAACATTTTTCTCGATATTTGACTGTATCAATATCAATTAGATTTACTGTTAGAAACACGTTGTAAAACATTATTTTTATAAGTTGGAAAAGAAATTAACATTGCGAAAAATATTTAAAAAAAGACACTAATATATCAGATAATCCCTTTAAGATCACAATACACAACTGACACTGAAAGTGGTTGTTCTCTTAAAAGTTATATCAATTTAACAACCGATTTAACTCCAGCCGTTGAGTTCAAATTTATTGTTAAACATGTATTAAAATGTTACTAAATATTTTTTTCAAAAACTTTACTTCATATGCAAGGATAAATTTGAAGTGTGAGGAAAAGAATTCATAAAAATTTAATTATTTTTTATTTGTATAACGATGAAAATATGTATCCTAGACAATAATAATGACAATACATATATTTTATTGCAATGTGCAGTTTGTTTTAAAAAATGAGTCCTTGATTAAAAAAGTATTATTTTTTATAGGATTTTCATATCGCAATACAATAAGTGTAGGTTTTAGAAAATTTTTAAAGCTCATGTAAGAGTATGAAAGAGATAAAAAATATGAAATGGGAAAAGTTTCTTACATCCAACTTCAAGCTAATCCTTGCATATTAACTAATTTTAAAATAATATTTAATTCATTCATAGCACTTAAATTAATTTAGGTCAATTTTATGTCACGATGTTTTTTTCTGGTGCATTATTTTCCTTTTGCTTTCCCCCGGGCTGTTTTTCCATTACTTTTTTCCATATACATGTGAGAAAGCAAGACAGAAACTTTTTTTACAGGTTAAATTTTGCTCAGTTCCTTTTTCTCCACACAACAATGTCGATTTGTAATAGTTTATGTTATTATCAGCTGATCCCCCAAAAATTCAGAAAACAAAAGAATTTGTTGAGTACGAGAAGTGGTTATATAAAGAGTTTCAAAATCCACAGGTCTCTCTGTTTTGCTTTAAACTCCTCAGCGCATTTTTTGGCATTTCTCCTACTTCAATCAATTATAAACAATCCAAGATGTAAAAAGAGGAATAAGATTAAACTTTACTACAGTATTAGAGAACTTAGATTTTGCTGAGGACATGTTTGATTTGCCAGTAAATGTAAAACCTGCAATTTAAGACAACTTTTTTTTAAAAAAAAAAAATATGCAGAATAAATAAAAACAAATCCAAAACTGGGCGAATAAATGGCACGACTGAGATTGGAATTAAAATTGAAAGTGGCAAAATAGAGGTCGGGAAAAATTTACATTCCTTGGTAGAATAGTTAATAGAAAGGGATGAACAGATGCAGAAATAGGAGCAAGAATTTCAAAAGCACAATATTGCTTCAAAAGGTTGACGAAGGTTAAGTGATCAAATAATTAATTAAGACTAAAACTAATATTTTTTAATTCAGTAGTAAGGAGTGTTCCTTTATATGGGTCAGAAATTTAGAAAACTGCAGAATGAAAGCTAAACAATTGGCAAAACAGGTATTTAAGAAATATTCTGGCCTCAAACCTTATCTTATTCAGACCTCTAAAGTAAAACCAAACATCCCTTAATTATTATTAATCATATTATCATTATCACCCTTAATTATTATTATTTTAATCACCCTTAATATAAAAAGTAAAATATGGAAACGGATAGGTCATATTTTGAGAATGCCTGCCATAAGAATATCATCAGTAGCCTTAACGTGGAGAAGGCAAGCGAAAAAGAGAAGACATAGGTTACATAGAAAAGATAAATAAAAGAAGAACGAAAGCATGCGGTATCTTGTCATTCTCACCGAATGAGCAGGCACAAGAAATTAAGAGCCTTATGTGCCACTGGGCACAAAGGAGGAAAAGTCTTAAGTCTCTCACTTTATTATAATCTGGAAAATTTTGAATAGACTGTTCAACACCCGTTATAAAATAAAATAAGATCTTTTACGTCACCAACGTTGGCATTACTTTCCAATGCTTTGTAAACTGGTACCATAGAGTTTAATTCTTCTACCAAAATAGGAGAGTTCAATCAGTAATATACACAAAATCAGGGGCGCCGGCAAGGAGGTGCAAGAAGGTGCACTTGCACCCCCCTGTCTTTTTTTTAAACAATTAAAGAGATACAGAAAAATAATTTTGTTATAAAAAAACTTTTTAAAAAATATTTTTATTCAAAAATAAATAATTAAGTAATTATTGATACATAACAATTAAAAAATTGTTTAATCAAACAAGAATTGTAATCCTCTTGTTTGCTGTCCAAATCTGTTTATAACTTTTTTCTACAAAAGTTACTTTTTTCTACAAAAAATAACCGAATGCAGTCAATTTGTAAAATCTATTCATAAGTCGAACACTCGAAAGTAATTTTTTATCTAAACTGTCAAAAAAAGATTTTTTTCTTGAGCAGATAGCTAAGCTATATTTTTAAATTTCATTTAATAAAATATAAATAATATTATATTTTCTTTTAGTTATTAGTTTAACAAAGATGTATAACACAAACTGACTTCTCAGAACTGTAGAACTTCATCAGCACAATAAATACCAATGTTAAGCGTGCACAAACACGTTAGTATACGAAATTACTGTTTACAGTTATTTGTCTTTCAAAGTCAGTAGCTATGCCAGCGCCATCAATACAGTTTCTCGTGGCAAAATTTGCAAGTACAAGAAAGTCGTACTTTTTTTTAAATATCTTGTTAACAATGAAGAAATATATCTTGAAAAAAATTAACCGATGAAAGTATATGTAATAGCAAAACAAAATGTAATAACAGAATATTTTTAATTTTTTTTGTGTGTGTGTGTGTGTGGGGGGGGTAGTTTGTTAGAGGGTTGCACCCCTTTTTATATTATTCTGCCGGCGCCCTTGCTTGAGCATGTTATGTAGTTTAGTTTACCTTGTTTTTGGTATTAAGTCCATTCTAATTCCAGGCACCAATATTAAAGTGAAAAAAAATAGTAATAGTTTTCATTATTTTCCATTTTCATTTGTTATAATTTTTTAATCATATAATTTTAGTATTGGTAATTGTTATATTTGCTTTATGGAGACATATAACAGTACCTAAAAATGTGTCTCTCATTAATTTGAATTGCGTTGTGAATTTGAATAACTAGTTAGTGGAGAAAAATAATTAATATTCCTTGATAATTACTCATCACTATCGAACCGTTTCATTAATTTAATTATGAAATTAATTAAGAAAAAATTAGAATTAACAATTTACTATTCTAGTTCAAGTCTAAATCAACACGTGTGGATCGACACGTGCTTCACTAATACTTAAATCTAATTGCATCTAGGCTTAGATTTCTTAATAAAATTATTTATCTTGATTTAATATTTTATTATTTTTATGCAATCAAAGTAATTCAAGCATTTTCCTCCAAATAAATTATTTAAGCTAATCTAAAATCAGGTTCGAGCCTGTCAGGAAAATATTCAAATATATAACTAAAAGCTACTAAAATCACAATAACTGCCTAAAGTGAATCAATTAATAACTGCTAA